CCTGAGGACGGCTGCTTGCGTTGTAGCCGAAACGTCGTGAGAATTATTGTATTATGTTTTATTTTTATTATTTTATTACTTCCCTTCTACGTGACTTTACCGAAAGAACCAAGAAGGTGACAAAGTCTCTCCACTAGCAGTGGTGGTACCATGATTGTGGTCATCCAGCCCAGAGACCGCACACAACGCGTAATCACGCAGTGTCCCGATAGACAAATACGAAGAAGGAGACATCGTCACAGCGACGATGATCCACTACTCCACCACTGCTCCTGTGACTCGGTTGTCTGTGGCTTGACCACCACCTGAATGTGATGACATTGTCCCTGTTTCTCTGCAGCGTCTACATCAGCAGCCATACGTAAGAAGAAGAACATTGCCCATAGACTAACATTGTCCACAGACTAACAATGCCCATACACTAACGTTGCCCATAGTCTAGCATTGCATATGGAACATTACAAACTCCAGTGGTGGTGATGGTGCCATGATTGTGGTCATCCAGACCAGAGACCGTACACAACGCGTAATCACGCAGTGTCCCGATAGACAAATACGAAGAAGGAGACATCGTCACAGCGACGATGACGATGATGGATCACTACTCCACTACTGCTCCTGTGACTCGGTTGTCCCCCCAATATTATGCTATAAAAATAATTGCGATGCTATGTAAATAATAATAACAATTTGCTAAACCTTGGCCACAATATCTGGACTTGTCTTCACGTAAATCAAAGCATAGATTATGTTTATACTGATAGGAACGAAGTGAACCAGCCTACAATAGATTATATCGTCCGTCCGTCCGATGTCCGATTAGGTGTAGCAACATCGCCCCCTACTGCAAACACTTGGCAGGACCGTACAAAAACCTTTAGACTCAGTGAGGCTTTCCTGGCTAAACAAGTGTAACATTCCCTTATAATTCCCTGAGATAGTTTTTAATTAAAACATTTAAATTAAAAATTAACTCACAGCGGCCTAAAGCCTACAGCTAGGCCTAAAGCCTAGAACTAGGCCTCAAACTCTCCTTTCGTATCGTACCCCCGCCATTTCATTTTATTATAGCCATTCATTTGTTCGTTCCTACCAGCCCACCCCGCAGGGACCTGTTATGATTGTCGTTATGGTTGTACTTTATTAATTCGTTGTAGTAACTACATTATCAGTGGTTTAGTGACTACATTATCAGTAGTGTAGTAACTACATTTTCAGTGGCGTAGTAACTACACTATCAGTTGCGTAGTAACTACATTATCAGTGGTGTAGTAAACTACATTATCAGTGGCGTAGTAACTACATTATCAGTGGCGTAGTAACTTCACTATCAGTGGCGTAGTAACTACATTACCAGTGGCGTAGTGACTACATTATCAGTGGTGTAGTAACTACATTATCTGTGGTATAGTGACTAGATTATCAGTGGCGTAGTAACTACATTATCAGTGGTGTAGTAACTACATCATCAGTGGCGTAGTAGCTACATCATCAGTGGCGTAGTAACTACACTATCAGTGGTGTAGTGACTACATTATCAGTGGCGTAGTAACTATAGTATCTGTGGTGTAGTAACTACATCATCAGTGGCATAGTAACTACACTATCAGTGGTGTAGTAACTACATCATCAGTGGCGTAGTAACTACATTATCAGTGGCGTAGTAACTATAGTATCAGTGGTGTAGTAACAACATTATCAGTGGTGTAGTAACTATAGTATCAGTGGTGTAGTAACAACATTATCAGTGGTGTAGTAACTATAGTATCAGTGGTGTAGTAACAACATTATCAGTGGTGTAGTAACTATAGTATCAGTGGTGTAGTAACAACATTATCAGTGGTGTAGTAACTACATTATCAGTGGTGTATTAACTATAGTATCAGTGGTGTAGTAACAACATTATCAGTGGCGTAGTAACTACATTATCAGTGGCGTAGTAACTACATTACACTATGTAACACATTTTTGTTCCTGGGTACAAAGTATTATTTTTTATTGCTTAAGCCTAAAAAGTATAGATAATCGCTATTATTCCCCACAAACTTTGCTTTTGTGACCAGGACTTTATGTGAACGAAAGACACAAATGCACACCACGTTTTCTCATTGAAAATAGGTAAATTTCAAAATATCACTGTCCTGATAGTTGTTTTTTTACCCTTTTATCTGGCGCCTTTTGGCGTCATCTGGTCCAACACCATGTGAGACTAGGCTCTAAGAAAAGCTGTCTCGGGTGTGGACCAATCAATTTCAAGGACAGTGCATGAGTTATCAGAGTTGTGTTTTTTGTTTGCATTCCGACCGCAGGTATTGTGGTCTATGCAAACATGACTCCTTGTAAAAAAAGGTGTCAGTTTTGTTGCCAGATAAAAGGGTAAAAAAACAATGATCATATTTTGCTACTGGCAAAGGAGGTTCCAATGGTGTAACTCACTGTCCTGGTGAGTAAAGCAATGTTTGTGGGGAGTAATAGCCACTTTCTGTACTTTTGAGACGTAAACAATTAGGAAATAACACTTACTACCCAGGAACAAAAACATGTTTTTTGTTACAGTGTTATCAGTGGTGTAGTAAGTACATTATTACTCACACCACTCCACTGATTGTGTGTGATGGCTGTGTGATATTTGTGTGTGTGATGGCTGTGTGTGATGGCTGTGTGTGATGGTTGTGTGTGTGATGGTTGTGTGGGTTGGTGGGGGGGCTGGTCGGGGGGCTGGTGGGGGATTGGTGGGGGGGTTGGTGGAGGGGGCTGGTGGGGGGGAGGGTTGGTGGGGCGGTTGGTGGGGGGGCTGGTGGGGGGGTTGGTGGGGTGGGCTGGTGGGGCGGTTGGTGGGGGGGGGCTGGTGGGGCGGTTGGTGGGGTGGTTGGTGGGGGGGTTGGTGGGGCGGTTGGTGGGGGGGGGCTGGTGGGGGGGTTGGTGGGGGGGGGCTGGTGGGGGGGTTGGTGGGGGGGCTGGTGGGGCAGTTGGTGGGGGGGGGGGATGGTGGGGCGGTTGGTGGGGGCGGTTGGTGGGGCGGTTGGTGGGGGGGGCTGGTGGGGGGGTTGGTGGGGCGGTTGGTGGGGGGGGGCTGGTGGGGGGGTTGGTGGGGTGGGCTGGTGGGGCGGTTGGTGGGGGGGGCTGGTGGGGGGGTTGGTGGGGGGGGCTGGTGGGGCAGTTGGTGGGGGGGGGGGTTGGTGGGGGGGTTGGTGGGGGGGTTGGTGGGGGGGGGGTTGGTGGGGCGGTTGGTGGGGGCGGTTGGTGGGGCGGTTGGTGGGGGGGTTGGTGGGGGGGGTTGGTGGGGGGGGCTGGTGGGGGGGGTTGGTGGGTGGGGTTGTTGGGGGTTGGTGGTGGGGCGGTTGGTGGGGGGGATTGGTGGGGGGGGTTGGTGGGGCGGTTGGTGGGGGGGTTGGTGGTGGGGGTTGGTGGGGGGGATTGGTGGGGGGGTTGGTGGGGGGTTGGTGGGGGGGGTTGGTGGGGCGGTTGGTGGGGGGGGGTTGGTGGGGGGGGTTGGTGGTGGGGGGGGGTTGGTGGGGCGGTTGGTGGGGGGGGTTGGTGGGGGGGATTGGTGGGGGGGGTTGGTGGGGGGGTTGGTGGGGGGGGTTGGTGGGGCGGTTGGTGGGGGGGGTTGGTGGTGGGGGGGGTTGGTGGGGCGGTTGGTGGGGGGGGTTGGTGGGGGGGCTGGTGGGGGGGTTGGTGGGTGGGGTTGTTGGGGGGTTGGTGGTGGGGCGGTTGGTGGGGGGGATTGGTGGGGGGGGTTGGTGGGGCGGTTGGTGGGGGGGTTGGTGGGGGGGTTGGTGGGGGGGGATTGGTGGGGGGGGTTGGTGGATTGGTGGGGGGGGTGGTGGGGGGGTTGGTGGGGGGGAATTGGTGGGGGGGTTGGTGGTGGGGGGGTTGGTGGGGGGGCTGGTGGGGGGGTTGGTGGTGGGGGGGGTTGGTGGTCGACCGAGTTGCCCGCTTGGAGAGAACTCCAACAAGCGGTGTCGTCAGCTCGTGGCGAGGAGCGGGAATCCGCAGCGCGCCCAGCGTCGCGCCAACCACAGCGCCACCGCTCCCCACCCCCCACCACCCCCCATCGCTCTCCCCCCATCGACCCACGGCCCCCACCCCCCACCCCCCATCGCCCCGCCCCCCCCCCCCACCGCCCCCCACCGCCCCCACCCCCATCCCAGCGGCCCCCACCCCCCACCCCCCACCGCCCCCACCCCCCATCCCAGCGGCCTGGGCGCGACGCGAGAGCCTCTCCGGCATCGCGGCCTCGTCTCCTCCTCCTCGTTGTTGTTGTTCTCCCTCTCGCCTCCTCGTCCTCCTCCCTCCCTCCTCCTCATCCCTCTCGCCTCCTCCTCCCTCCTCCCTCCTCATCACCTCTCGGCCTGCTCCCTCCTCCTCCCCTTCTCCTCCTCCTCCTCATCTCGCCTCGTCCCTCTCCTCCCTCCCCACCTCCTCCTCCTCCCTTACTCCTCATCCCTCTCGCCTCGTCCTCCCTCCTCCACCTCTCGGCCTGCTCCTCCTCTCCTCCGTCTCGTCTCGTCCCTCTCCTCCCTCCCCTCCTCATCCCCTCCTCCTCCTCGCCTCCTCCTCTCGCCTCGTCCCTCTCGTCCTCCCTCCCTCCCCTCGTCGTCCTCCTCCTCCCGCGCTTCTGTGCCACCTCCCGGTGCTTATTCCTCCTCCTCCATCACCACCACCATCACCACTAACAACCATCACCACTAACAACCATCACCACTAACAACCATCACCACTAACAACCATCACCACTAACAACCATCACCACCACCATCACCACTAACAACCATCACCACCACCATCACCACTAACAATCATCACCACTAACAACCATCACCACTAACAACCATCACCACCACTAACAACCATCACCACCACCATCACCACTAACAACCATCACCACCACCATCACCACTAACAACCATCACACCACCATCACCACTAACAACCATCACCACTAACAACCATCACCACCACCATCACCACTAACAACCATCACCACCACCATCACCACTAACAACCATCACCACTAACAACCATCACCACTAACAATCATCACCACCACCATCACCACTAACAACCATCACCACCACCATCACCACTAACAACCATCACCACCACCATCACCACTAACAACCATCACCACCACCATCACCACTAACAACCATCACCACCACCATCACCACTAACAACCATCACCACCACCATCACCACTAACAACCATCACCACCACCATCACCACTAACAACCATCACCACCACCATCACCACTAACAACCATCACCACCACCATCACCACTAACAATCATCACCACCACCATCACCACTAACAACCATCACCACCACCATCACCACTAACAATCATCACCACCACCATCACCACTAACAACCATCACCACCACCATCACCACTAACAACCATCACCACTAACAACCATCACCACTAACAATCATCACCACCACCATCACCACTAACAACCATCACCACCACCATCACCACTAACAACCATCACCACCACCATCACCACTAACAACCATCACCACTAACAACCATCACCACTAACAACCATCACCACCACCATCACCACTAACAACCATCACCACCACCATCACCACTAACAACCATCACCACCACCATCACCACTAACAACCATCACCACTAACAACCATCACCACCACCATCACCACTAACAACCATCACCACCACCATCACCACTAACAACCATCACCATCATCGCCTGTTGTTGCGTTTTGTCTGCCGCGAGCTCGTGTCTCTGTGTGTGTCTCTCTGTGTTTGTGTATCTCTCTCGTGTGTGTCTCTGTGTTTGTGTCTGTCTGGGTCTCTGTGTGTCTGTCTCTCTGTGTCTCTCTCTGTCTGTGTGTCTCTCTGTCTGTGTGTCTCTCTGTCTGTGTGTCTCTCTGTCTGTGTGTCTCTCTGTGTCTCTGTGTGTCTCTGTCTCTCTGTGTGTCTCTCTGTCTGTGTCTCTCTGTGTGTCTCTGTCTGTGTCTCTGTCTGTGTCTCTCTGTGTCTCTCTCTCTGTCTCTCTGTGTATCTGTGTCTCTCTCTGTCTCTCTGTGTATCACTGTCTCTGTCTGTGTGTCTGTCTGTCTCTGTCTGTGTGTCTGTCTGTCTCTCTCTGTGTGTCTCTGTGTCTCTCTCTGTGTGTCTCTGTGTCTCTCTCTGTGTGTCTCTCTGTGTGTCTCTCTGTGTGTCTCCATCCATGGCGAGGTTCGCGTCCGCCTGACCCCCCCCCATCACTCTCCCTGTCTCCTCCTCCTCCAACTCTCTCTCTCTAGGCCATTGTCGCGTCCTGACGGCCATCACCACCACCACCACCCTCGTGTAGTTCACGTTTCCCTACCCTAACAACCACCACCAACAACAACAACCAACAACAACAACAACCACCAAGCACCAAGGCCTGCGACTCGCCACCACCTCCACCGCGCTCCGGGTCTGTTGTTCTCAACCCGCACCACCAACAACAACAACAACCACTACCAACCACAACCACCACCAACAACAACCACCACCACCACCAACAACAACCACCACCACCAACAACAACAACAACCACCAACAACAACAACCACCAACAACAACAACCACCAACAACAACCACCACCAACCACAACAACCACCAACAACAACCACCACCAACCACAACAACCACCAACAACAACCACCATTACCAACCACAACAACCACCAACAACAACCACCATTACCAACCACAACAACCACCAACAACAACCACCAACCACCACCAACAACAACCACCACCACTACCAACCACAATAACCACCACTACCAACCACAACAACCACCACCAACAACAACCACCAACAATAACAACCACCACTACCAACCAACAACAACAACCACCACTACCAACCACAACCACCACTACCACAACAACCACCACAACAACCACCACTACCACCACCACCAAACACCAAGGCTTGCGACTGACCGCCACCGCGCTCCGGGTCTGTTGTTGTTCTCAACACGCACACCAACAACAACCACAACCACCACCAACAACAACCACAACCACCACTACCAACAACAACCACAACCACTACCAACCACAACCACCACTACCAACAACAATCACCACCAAACAACAACAAACGCCACGGCTTGCGACTGACCGCGCTCCGTGTCTTCTGTTGTTGTTCTCAACCCGCACCACCACCAACAACAACAACCACCACAACCACAACAACCACAACAACCACCACAAGAACCACAACAACCACCAACAACAACCAACAACAACAACGCACAGCAGCAGCCACCAACCACCACAACACAAATCTGTTGCGGTAATTTTCGTTCGCCGATACCGACGTTGAGTTTGCGTGTGTGCGAGCCTGTTAATTGTTGTTTTATTGTTCGCGTTATCGCCGTTAATGTTTGTTGTTTTAGTGTTTGCGTCGAAGCTGTTAACGTTTGCTAAGTGCGGGGGTTTTTGTTTTGTTTTTTGCGTGTTCTGAGGGGATTTTATTACCGCCTCTGTTGTGACATTTTTATTGGCGGGAAGAAGAAGGGGCAGGGGGGATAATGGATGATGGAGCGGCCTGGAGGTGAAGGAAGAAAGGAATGAAGAAGGGATGGAGCGGGGAGGTGAAGGAATGAAGAAGGGATGAATGAAGAAGGGAGGGGTAGGAATGAAGAGATGGAGTGGTGAGGTGAAGGAAGAAAGGGAATGAATGAAGAAGGGATGGAGCGAGGAGGTGAAGGAAGAAAGGAATGAAGAAGGGATGGAGCGAGGAGGTGAAGGAAGAAAGGGAAATAATGAAGTAATAGAGCGGGGAGGTGAAGAATGGAAAGGAATGAAGAAGGGATGGAGCGAGGAGGTGAAGGAAGTATGGGAAGGAATGAAGAAGGGATGGAGTGGTGAGGTGAAGGAAGAAAAGAATGAAGGGATGGAGCGGGGAGGTGAAGGAAGAAAGGAATGAAGAAGGGATAGAGCGAGGAGGTGAAGGAAGTATGGGAAGGAATGAAGACGGGATGAGGGTAATGGATGGAGCGATGAGGTGAAGGAAGAAAGGGAAGGAGGGAAAGGAAGGAATGAAGAAGGGATGGAGCGGGGAGGTGAAGGAAGAAAGGTAAGGAATGAAGTAATAGAGCGGGGAGGTGAAGAAGGGAAAGGAATGAAGAAGGGATGAGGGTAATAGATGGAGCGGTGAGGTGAAGGAAGAAGGGGAAGGAGGGAAAGGAAGAAAGGGGAAGAATGAAGAAGGGATGAAGCCTGGAGGTGAAGGAATGAGGAATGGATGGAGCGGGGAGGTGAAGGAAGGAAATAGGGAAAGGAAGGAAATAGGGAAGGAATGAAGAAAGGGATGGAGCTGTGAGGTGAAGGAAGAAAGGAATGAATAATGGATGGAGCGGGGAGGTGAAGGAAGAAAAGGAATGAATGAAGAAGGGATGGAGCGGGGAGGTGAAAGAAGAAAGGAATGAATAATGGATGGAGCGGGGAGGTGAAGGAAGAAAGGAATGAAGAATGGATGGAGCGGGGAGGTGAAGGAAGAAAGGGAAGGAATGAAGAAGGGATGAGGGGGAATGTGGCGATGAAGGAGGCATGATGAGAATCGTTTTCAAAGACGCACGATCTGTTGCCGTGAACTATTATCACGAATTGTTATCGTGTTACAATTGTCGCTCTGACCCCCCGCTTATGATTATACGTGTGGTCTCCTTTAATCCATTATCTCTATAGTTGTGCATTGTAACAGCGACAAAGTTAGAGCCCTTTACCCGAAACGTTGCCTTCATAAAACTTATCAATTATTTTTTGTTACCTGTGAATTGGTATCTTATGGGGATCCCATTTTCTTTCCCAATACCGTATCAAAATGATGACACAATAAGGGAATAGGTTTATTTATTTCTAAAATCTATAACCGCTCGAACCGAGATAGTCATCCTTTGATATTTGTGGCATTGTCTTTGTGCTCATAATCCCACTTCGTTGAGCCGTCATTCGTGTTGGTAAAGTCGCTTTTGAAAAATGGTCCGAATACCAACTCAGTGAGCCTTACCTGTTAGAAGAAATAATAGTTTAGTTTGTTGCCTTGTTAAAGGTATCTATTTGGTGTTTGAACATCTTAACCATTTTGTTTTATTTTTACCTACGTGACTTTACCGAAAAAACCCAAGAATATGAATCCTTGCAGTCACGAAAGCTTCAAATCTAGAATCTTCACCACCTGTTTTATTGCCAGAAAAGGGTTAAAGCCTATTTGTTTTATAATTTTCAATTGCTATGTGTTGACTCCTTTGTGCACACAACTGCCATGTGCCAGCTCGACAACCGGACAATTTCTGTACCATATAAATAACACGTGCGATTTGTATAGGGTGAGTGGTCTTGTTACCTGCAGCTGGCTTTCTCCTTTGCTTGCTGTCGGCCTTTAGCATCACACCCCCCCACGGGAGGCAAATTACTTGGTTCACCGGTGCATGTTCTCCCCGTGGTCGTGTGCATTTTTCTCCGGATCATCCCTCTGCTATTGTCCCTCCACATTTAGAATCAACGTGCAAATCGATTATTTGGCCGCAATACATTTTCACGCGATAAGCCACTCGGTCCAGCCATCCATTTGTGGCCAGGTCGCCTCTGAAAAAGTGGGCCTTACCTGGTGAAATAAAAAATAGTTGAGTTTATATTCTGTACGTGATGCGCGTGTGTGTGTGTAGTAGTGGGGAGCGGTAGTGTAGCGGTTAATGCGCCATGCTACGAACCTGGTGGCCCGAGTTTGATTCTTGCTCACGGCCAACACCAGTGACGATTATCTGAACCTCACCTGGGCCTCCTCCCCTAGGGCGACTTGCCTCAAAATGAGTATCTGGTGCGGTGTGTAAACATCGCCACGAAGGAGACAAAGGCGGCCGGGCGTGGTGTTGGCCACCCACCCCCTCGTGTGCCGTGCCGCCTTTCGTAGGTGCTACTCGCTAATAGCACTTGTCTGTCTTCTTGGTTCTTTTGTAAAGTCACGTAGAAGGGAAATAATAAAATAATAAAATTAAAACATAATCAAATACAATTCTCACGACGTTTCGGCCACAACGCAAGCAGCCGTCCTCAGGTGAAGAAACAGGTCATTCAGACGCTGTCTTTCCGTCTGAATGACGCTGTCTTTCCGACAGACCTGATCTTCACCTGAGGACGGCTGCTTGCGTTATGGCCGAAACGTCGTGAAAATTGTATTTTATTATGTTTTATTATTTTATTATTTCCCTTCTACGTGACTTTACCGAAAGAACCAAGAAGATGAATCCCTGAAGTCACGAAAGCTTTAAATCGAAATTTAGCACTTGTCTGTTCAGGCTATACGGGCGATCTTTTTGTGTAGTAGACACGTAGCCTTTATGCAACCAGCATGTGTACACTTTATAGGACCGCGGTTTTTAGAATGTTGCTTGTTCAAATATATTTCCATTGTTTACAAAGGCTTTTGGCCCTAATCGTATTTGCTATTCATTTGTCATTCCGTTCCAGAATCCGATTTGAAAGGGTCGATGGTAGAGAAACCTTTCCTCAACCAGGTTTGCTCGTTGGCCTACGCATTTTTCTGTTCTATATCCAAATAATAATCGTGAACAATATTTCTCTCTTCGGCAAGCGGATGACCGGTCGGCGATTATTCAAATCGGGTGTTATCGGCCGTTATTGAATACAGGTAGTCCTCTACTTACGATGGAGATGCGTTACGACGACCCCATCGTAAGTCGAAAATATCGTAAGTCGAAGATGGCCTAGCCTGCCCAGGAGTCTTAAAGAATGGTGATAATTTAGCAAAACAGAGCAATTTACAGTACCGTACTGTATAAACTATATACTGTATGTATTTATTAATTACAATACTCTATTGCACAGTAAAATTTAAAGTAAAAAACAAGGTAAATTCTTAGCCTACCTATATGAACTGCAATTTAATAGAAAGTTTTTTTAGGAAACAATCCTATCTGCTATGAAAACTTTTAACATGCATTGAATGTATGTATCGTATCATGGTAACCCTAAAATGAAATCGCTAAAGCTACGTATCATACATGCATTGAACGTATCGTAACGTATCATTGTATTCTACTCACCAAGATTTTGTCTTGAACGATGTTAGGTTGATGATGGCTACATTAACTTAGTTGCCGGAAGAGGAGGATGGCGATGATAAAGTACAGTATCGTACCTCGTACACTGCTGCGTTTGCCTGCCGCGCGAAATGTAAAATATTTAACAATTTTGTCATATCGCCATCGTAAGATGTAAATATCGTAAGTCGGACCATCGTAACTCGGGGACTACCTGTATAAGAAAGAAAGAAAGAGGCATCGTCTATATACTGCTTATGCTGGAGGAATCCGATTAGCTATAAAGCTCTTTGTCCACAGATGTCCAGTTAGGGGCACGGGGTCAGAGCGTTACAACAAACAATACAATAGGAGTGCAAAGTATAGAAAAGGTAAACAAATCGCTTAAAATACAAATAAAACTAAACCATTTTTTTTATATCTTACCAGGTAGAGCCCACTGAGCTGTACGAGTCTTTTTTAGAAGTGACCTGGCCACAAATGGCTTATCAAGTGGGCATTTCTAGCCGCAAAATTATCTTAACACATTTTTCTAAATGTGGAGGGAAAAACCGAAGGACCCGGAGAAAAAATGCACCACAAGCATTGGGAAAGAGACTTGCAAACTCCAAATATACAGCAAACATCAGTCGGGATCAAACCCCCGACGTCCTGCATACCAGGCGAGGTAAATAACATCACACCACCGTGAAAATATAATAAAACACACCTTTATTACGAACAGAGTCTAGAGTTTCAGGCTCTCATGGGTAAACAAAATTATCTCCGGTGCCCAGAACGTGAAACCCGTTCTTTTCGTGCCCTTTGTGCAGACAATGGACGTGGGGATGTCCAAGTTGGCGTACGGCCCCAAGAGGTCGCACAAGAAGAAGAAAAGATCCGAGGAGAGAGTTCGCTACGAGCCGCACTCAAGCCTGGGCCTCACGTATGACGACATCGGTGCCGGTGCGTTCGCTTCGCACGTTACACTTGAGCCTAACCCGCTGCTCTTGAAATGCCAAAATCCAACACGGCACCATGTAACGTGGCAGGATCTTATTCGGCGTCTTCACAACTACCGCTCTGCGAGTCAAAAGATTCTGCTTTTTTCCTCCCTTTCCCCCAGGTTCTTAGCAACCTTTCGCAGTTCAATTGAACTGTTAGCTCGTGTCCGTTGCACCTTTCAACAGCGGTGTTGATTGTTGGCCCACCTGGCCTTTTGGGGCCTTTGGCCCTGTGCCCCGCACCTGGAATTAGCGCGACAGCTTTATCTGGTGATTACAACCAGCTTCGTCAACCAGCGAAACGTCGCGGCTACTCGAATTGTAGTTCCGGTGGGTTTACTCTCCAACACGCAGCCGGGTGTGTGCTGAACTAGTAGCGAATTGGCCTGGTTTTGTTTATGTCACTAAACTTTGCTGATTGGCTGTGTCGGGTGGTGGCGAGTTAAACGACACATTTATATTCACGCGATCGAACCCAACAAAACCTTGATTATGGATCGTATCTATTGCACCTTCAAAGGTGTTTGTTGTTGGCCATCTGGCCTTTGGGGCTGTGCACGCACCTCCAATTAGCACGGTTGGCTACGTACGGTGTGAAAGGAGTTTAACATACAATACACATACATTACACCACGTCATCATAATCGCCATAATTCATAGTATCAATGCAATGATTAATCGATTGTGCAATGAAGGTACGTTCTTTCTTCTGATATTAGGAAGCCACTGTAGCTATGCACTTTAAAAAAATCTCAATTGACAAACTCAATCTAGATGTTTCGATTTAAAGCTTTCGTTACTGCAGGGATTCATCTTCTTGGTTCTTCCGGTAAAGTCACGTAGAAGGGAAATAATAAAATAATAAATATAAAACATAATATAAAATTCTCACGACATTTTCGGCCACAACGCAAGCAGCCGTCCTCAGGTGAAGAACAGGGCTGTCGGAAAGACAGCCCTGTTCTTCACAGACAGCGTCCATTGGGACGCTGTCTTTCCGACAGCCCTGTTCTTCACCTGAGGACGGCTGCTTGCGTTGTGGCCGAAACGTCGTGAGAATTTTATTTTATTATGTTTTATTTTTATTATTTCCCTTCTACGTGACTTTACCGAAAGAACCAAGAAGATCAATCTAGATGATTTAGCTGGTTGTAATCGCCAGCGAAACGTCACGGTACTTGAATTGTAAATGTTGTGGTGGGTTTACTCTCTAACACACAGCCGGTTAGTGCTGTACTAGTAACTAATTTGCACGTTTTGTTTATATGACTCAACCTTACTAAGCTTCAGGTGGTGGTGGAGGCGGGATTAGCGATACATATTTACGCTATTTAATTAAAAAAAAAAACTGGATAATATTTTGCGTGAAATCCCTACTCCTACTTACATATAAAAAACTGGATTCCCATTTGTCTTTTTTTCAGAAATGGCCATGAACCAAATGTACATGCAGCAGAACGCCAGCCGTGGACGGCAGCGAGCGGTCGCTGTGATGGAAGAAAGCGACACCTCGGGTGAGGGTCTGTGTGTGTTTACCTGCGTCTGTCTGTCTGTGTGTGGTACTCTGTGTTTGTTAATTTGTGAGGGAGCGGTAGTGTGGTGCGCTACGATCCCGGTAACGCGAGTTCGATTCCCACTCATGGCCAACTCCAGCGACGATGATCTAAATTGGTCATTGACCTCCCCAAGGTTGACTCGGCCTCAAATGAGTACCTGGTGCGGTGTTTAAAAACATTGCCACTGGGGGTGTGGTGCTGGCCACCCCCACCCCCTTGTGTGCCGTGTCGGCCTTCATAGGTGCTCGCTAACAGCACTTGCCCCAACAGTCTGATAAAGCTACACAAGGGGGGGATCTTTGTATTACGTATTATGGGGGGGTCTTGTCTTTCTGCTCGTTTGAACTTCCCCGTGAGCCCCAATCATTGCATTGTGTTTTTAATGTTTTTAATTGTTGTAAGAACATGAGCCCGGTACAACATGCCGATGGTATTCTGGCAGGGGGGGGGGGTGGGGGGACAGAAAACCGCGGGGGTCGGGGGAGGGGCTATGGGAGTATCAAAGCCACGTTCAGGTTGGGGTTGGAGGGTCGATGCGCCAAACCTGGTGGGGATCTTCCGTCGGTGTGGGGGGGGAGTGAGATGGGTGGCTAGGAAGATGTCAGTTTAACACGTCGGCTTTCGCGACCAATATCCATAATGAATTGGCATGTTCTGTTTACGTGACAAACCTTTACTAATCGGCTGTGGCTCATTTAACGACACATGTACATATTTATCTTGCCTGGTATACAGGAGGACGTCGATTAAACCCCGACCCTGATGATGCCTGCTACTGTATATTTGGAGATTGCGTCTCTCTCGCTCTCTGTGATTGCGTGGATTTTTCTCCGAGTCCTCTGGTTTTCCCCTCTACATTTAGAATCAACGGCACACGTTTAGAGTATATGCGATGATAAGCCACTTTATTGAGCTATCATTTGTGATGGTTAGGTCCCTTTTGTAAAAGAGCTAAACAGCTCAGTGGGCATTACCTGGTAAGATACTAAATTGCTTATATCCGGGGGGGGAGGGAAGAGGGGGTCGGGGAAGAGATAACCAACATTCTAAGGGGAGTGCGGGTATAGGGGGTAATTGATACAACATACACGCAGCATTATGGGTGGTGGGTGACAACCTCTCCCCTCGTGATCCCAATCAGTATTCATACATCCTGTCCCCCGCTGTGGGACCCCCTTGGGTCACAGTGTAATGCTTGAGGTATGGCGGGTAATGTTCAGCCAGGTTTTTATCGACGAGGTAACCCACAGACTTTCTGCAATCGTTACGCGGCATAGGCAGCAGAAGGACATCTGCACATTAAGAGATGACAGGATACGCAGACATTTTCGGTATCCCATGGAAGACGGATCTGCTGCTGCGTGAATTTCCTCTGTTACGATCGTCCCGGACGAGCCCCCAGAATGTCACACGCCGGTTGGTTGACTGGTCCTATGTGCAGGAGGGAGCGATCCTCCTCCTTCGTAAAACCGCCCGAGGCCAAATGGCATTTAATATTCGTGAAGACGGGAGCCAACTTGAGGGTGGAATGCAAAGGCACGCAAATGCATCGCTCCGATTAGTACGGTTAGCTACGTACGGTGCGAAAGAAGTTCAGCATGCACACGCTACACTATACACTACAATATACAATACACTACGATACACTATACTTCTGGAGGATCGCTCCTCTGTACAAAATAATTCCGCGGTTCAGTTTGCAATTGCGAGTTTGCATTTTAAGTCGATGTACATTTTAAAAATATTTTATGGAAGCTGGTTCGTAAGTGCGGGTGTTTGTAAGTACGGGTGTGCGTAAGTCGAGGACTGCCTGGACACTTCGATAAATTACACTACAAAACACTACACTATGATACACTAGATTACTATACACTATACCACTATACTAAATTTGAAATTAATTTCTTTAGAACTGCTTGTTTAGTTTGTTGTCCTTCCCCTGCACCTCCGATTAGCATGGTTGGCTACGTACGGTGCGAACGAATTTCAACATACATACAGACACACAAGTTAAGCAAACAAATCATGGTTTCTGTACTTTTCTGCCACTATACGTTATAAGTTGCACAGTCGGTTCTGGATGAGTTTTTAATTTTCCATTTGTGCATCATCAGCTATCCGCATCTTGCTGCTGCCGTAGTTTGTGCAGTAGCTGATGTGGTTTAGGGGGTGGGGACCATGAGCAGCTTCGTGGAAGATCAAACCCCAGGGGATCTTCTGCGTCGTCGTCTTTCACAACGAGGCCGTGTTTGTTTGCGAGTTCTCTTAAACTCCATCCAGCTCTCCGAGCTTCGTCGGAGGGGCAGGGAGGTTGTCAAAGGTCAAGCGCGCGGGTTCCAAAAGGGGGGCTCGAGGTAATCGTGTCTCCCCCCAATCCCGAATCCCAGTTTCAGACATGGATGGCAGCTACGATGACAACGACTACGGGGCGCACCCCGAGAGCGTGATGAACTCCCACGGCGGGCGACCCGTGCCTCACGGCTGGGACAAGGAGGAGGAGGAAGAGGATGACGATGATGACGACGACGACGATGACGACGACGACGAAGATGAAGACGAGGAAGACGGGCTGGAAGATGACGTTGATGATGAGGAGGAAGAGGAAGGGGAGGAAGAGGAGGAGGAGGAAAGCAGCAGTGAGGGTGAGTGTATCGGTCCCCCTACTGCCCCTGTCCCTCCCGGCACGTGCGAGGCAATTCGGCTCGGCGACATTCTGGCGAAGCCGTCGACCGAAATTGTGGTGCTTGCCGTCTTCGCTTGGGGGACACGACTACTCGTTGGTTTTTGTCGCCACCCTTGTAATCGTCCCTGCCAGTTAACCGCGTACGTGTCAAAGGGGTTAATTGTAGCGTGATCGCGTTTGTTGTGGTCTTGAGTGGACCCCCCCCCCCCGTCCTCGTCCAGAGACGGTTCCGTCAGGCGATTGTCTGCAGTCAGTGGTTGGCAACCGTGCTGACAATAGGAGCCATTTTATTCTGAATTCTGTAACAACAAAAAAAAACCTCTATACAGTAGAACTCTCGATTATGATGGGGAGCACGGCCGCAGATAATGCAAAATCGCGGATGATCCCAAAAATATAACCATTTTCCGCGGACTTCTATGCCAAAAATCACTAATGTAGGTATAAATTACGTTTAAGTTAAGAAAATTTTAATTGTTAATGGGCAAAATAAATGTTTGTAGTAAACAATTGACCGATCGACGATGCGCGTGCTCGGTGATAACTTCCCTTGCTCCCGCCCAGCAGAAGACTCAGCCCACTAAGTGGATGACAGCAGCAGAGTCACAGCCAATCAACATCAATAAAACTCCGCCACCCACCGTCATAGAGATACGGCAACTACTGTGCTGTAGGGGCGATCACGCGGATTTCAGATTAACCGGAGCAACGTATTTGTTCGGTTTAAGCACCGCGTGACTCGCATTAAGCATTTCCAAGAATAATATTAAATTCATTTTATAGAGCGTCATTCATGCGATTGCATCCCACAACGCTGCACATCAATGAGCCGGTCCCTTACGCAGATGATACAAAAACAGAACCTCCATTGCTTGGCAAATAAAAAAACTTAAAGATTAATACGTGAACAAAAACGATGATCGCAGAGAAATTAAATTGAATGAATCTGTTTGGTCTCCCCAGACCACAATCCCAACATTTTGCCGGATTTAGGAGAACCTTCACTTTAGGGGTTGTGGAGTGGCCAAAAAGTTATGAGCCAGTTGGACTGTAACATAAATGGCCATTTTCCAGCGTATGCCTTTAATTCCGATTTGAATAACTTAATTGATTGGATTTGTCGGATGTGTAGCGGGAGAGTGCTCCAGACTGTTGGGGGCTGCGACATGTGAACGCTCGTCCACCAATCCATTCGCGTAAAACTCTTGGGGTGGACTGCAAACCTCGAGTGAAGCAGAGCGGAGTACGCGAGGTGGGAAATAAACTGAAATGAGAGGAGAGAGATAGGCAGGTGGCTAGCCCATGAACTTAAAAAAAAACCCAGCAAGTGCAATCTTGAAAGTGACTTTAGACTGAATGTGTAGCCGGTGGAGGGGATTGTAAGATGGGCGTAATGTGATGACGCTTACGGGTATGAGTCAGTACCCCTCCCTGCAGCTGCGTTCTGCACATTCTACACGGTGAGATGAGAGACAAGGGAAGACCGTGTAGCAGAGAATTGCAATCCTGGAGGTAACAAATGCATGAACTATTGTTTCTGCAGCCGTATCGGAGAGGCAGTTACAGGTACGAGAAATGTTACGCAGATGGAAATAAGCAGTCTTGCACATGAGGGAAATGTGAGAAGAAAAGGAGAGGTTAGAGTGGTGAAAGAAGCCAAGATTCCGTGCCTGTTGACTGATATGAATGTCAGAGTCAAGCAGACATAGTGGATTGACAATGCCTGGAGGTAAGTGATTTTTTCCCCAACTAAGAGAACTTCAGTTTTAGCGTAAATTATTTGAAGATAATTTGCCGCGAGCCGGTCAGAAACTGCAGTTTAGACAGGAAGACAGAGTGGAATTTGGGTTTATATCACATTGATTGAAACTGATCTAAATCTGTGTATCGTCTGCACAGAAACTTGAGATGAGGTTGGCTAAATGAAGAAGGTGTAGTGAATAGAAGAGACCTAGAATAGACCCTTGTGGAACACCACAAAGCAGAGGTTTTTGAGAGGAAGAGATGCCGTTTATCACGACATGATGCACCCGGTCAAGAGAGTTAAGAAGAAAACCAAGTTAGAAAGGCGGCATCAGAGCAGCCGACGTGGCTGTGGAGGTGCTCGAGAATAATTGAATGATCGACAGTGTCAAATGCAGAAGATAAATCCAGGAGAGAACCAGGTGAGAAAGTTCCAGAGTCAGTGGATAAGAGAAGATCGTTAGAAACAAGAAGTAAAGCGGTTTCAGTTGAGTGATCTTTCTAAAAACCTGATTAAACCTGATCAAAGCAGTTATGCTGAAGAAGATTATTATTTCCATGATTGGTTTAACATGTAGGCTTTCGCGACCGTACTTTGGTTGTAAATGTTGTTGATTTACTCTACTGTACTAGTAACGAATTGCTATGTTCTATTTACGTGACAAACCTTACTAATTGGCTGTGTTGAGTGGTGGAGGGTTTAACGACACATTTATATTTACGCGATCTAACCCAAAAACGAAGATCGAGTCGAAGAAATAGTTTTGATAGGAGCAAGATTGTTAACTATTTCTGATATTGTTTGATTATGGTGGTTTACAGAAGGTACATCAGGAGTAAGGAAAGTTGGATCTTTATCAAGAATGTGCAAAGAGTAGAGCAGGTGAGATATTTTTGTAGGACCGATAAGAAAAGGTGGTGATATCAGGAGGAGGATTTGGAAGGCAGACAGAGAAATTAATGTGGTGGTGGTCACTGTAATTCTAGATTTGAAGCTTTCGTGACTGCAAGGATTCATACTCTTAGTTTTTTCGGTAAAGTCACGTAGGTAAAAAATGAAATAAAAATTAATAAAAATAAAATAATAAAAATCACAACGTTTCGGAGGCAACACAAGTCTCCGTCATCAGGTGGGACCGTCACAGCCAGATTTGCTGTATTAAGTGAGGCAGGGATTCCAAGATGCAAGTTCTTAAATACAAGTTAAGGGGGAGCAGAGGGGGGGAGCTTATCAGAATGTGGTAGTCAATGAATGGAACGTATTGGGAGGGGGCGGGGCGGGGCTAAAAGAGAGCACGAGGTGTAAGTATAGTGGTCACTGTAATTCACAGGGGAGATTGAGGAAACCGTCATTTCAATGTTGTTCGACATTACCAGATCTAAGATATATTGCCTTTTGGACGAGTAGGAGAATAAATAGATTGAGTTAGTCCAAGGGTACCAAGAATGGACAGAAATCCTGATAAAGAAGGATCTTTAGGGTTGTCTATATGGACATTGAAATCGCCAACAATTATTACCGGGAGAGGTGGACATAGTGAAATCCGATATGAAGTCACAATGAGCCTTAGGTGGGTGTTAGACTATACACACGGCTCAAAGGTTGGAGCAGCTGGAACGTTTCATATTCACGAATATGAAATATGATTTGACAATCGCAGTAGCAGTAGCGCCACCTACCACCCCGCCCTGCAGGGCCACGCACATTCAAAGAAGCGGTTATCTTGGAGGAATCGATTCAAGAAAATGGGGAAATATCTGATGGCGAATGCCACGTTTCAGCGAACCAGAGAATGCCCGTGGTCCCCTTCTACAGGAAAATCATTAATGATCAACGTTTTTTTTACTTCTTAATGGATCGAATGTTTAATAAGGATAACGTAATAGCAGTTTAACACGTCGGCTTTTGCGACCAATATTGGGTTGGATTGCTGTAAGTATAATTGTGTCGTAACCCTCCACTGCCCGACACAGCCAGTGAGGTGACGTCATCTTGCTGTATTTAAGACCGGAAGTAGGTGGGTTGCTTCACTATTCTGGCAAATCGCCCGATGATGCTGGATGTAATTGCCAGCGAAACGTCGTACTATTCAAATTGTAAATGTTTCGGATTCACTCTCTAACACACCGGCTGAAGTAGTAACTAATTGTCGCGTTGTTTACGTGACAAACCTTACTGGCTGTGTCAGGTGGTGTGGAGGGTTACGACAACATTTATACTTACAGCGATCTAACCCAAAAAAACCTCGATTATGAGGATTAGCAGATGTGGACAGGATTAAATTGAGATTTTGTCCGGAGGAGACCTTTGATTCCTGCGCAGTTGTGGATGAGAGTACCTCTGTAATGAGTTGGGTATCTAAGAGTTTAAACCTCGACAGCGGTTTAAACTCTTATATACCCAGAATTAATGGTCGGGTTTATTGCTATGTTGAGCCGGTTCACTCGATTGTTGAATTCTTTGACCCCGACCTGACCCCAAGGCTGTTGGTATGGCCGCCGTCTTAATATTCCCAATATTTGACAAGTGGGAGTGTAAGTCAAAAACTCACGGGGAGTATAACTCATTGCCGCAGTTCAGTCAACTCGGCCGTGGAGGAGATGACGACCTGGGACCGGGGTGCACCGTGCCGAAGCCGCAGCAGCAGCGGCCGCGGCTGGGAAGCCAAGCAGCAGTATCGGGTGTAGATGGCAGGAAATATTGACTCGCGTCAACGGCAGCATGAACGCATAATTTGGAATTCAGGGGAAATCTACGAGTTGTTAATTTACGTCAAAATCTCGTGTGTGCGGTTGATCCGCAATGGGATAAAGTGCACGCGGATAGTAGAGAGTCTACTGTGTTTCATGAGCTGTGATACACTTGTGAATAGGAGACTGTGGCGCTCCTAAATAAACAATGGTCACGAAGCGGTCGCTTGAAGAGCCCACGGCATGCTGCTCCAGAGCCCGCAGGTTGCCGACCCCTGGCCTGGAGACACCATGACATGCCGACTCGTTACCGTACCATCTACACATAGATACTAAATTGTTGCTGTTCGAGTGGTTTGTCCACGACGAATGGCAAGCTTGAGAAAATCTTGCCACCCGCGTTGCCAAGGGGCGAAGTGTAGAACTTGGCCGCTAAACTGCGATCGTCGGTAAGAGTGTGGAGCTTTTGAGTGGCTGAAACCTACAGCGTGGATAACTTCCATCGGTTGCGCGCGCGTGTGTGTGTGTGTGTGCGCGGCGGTGGTGACATTGCGAGCAGATGATGAGAGTGATGAGGCGCCACCCACGCCCAGGGCCTACGCGCAGGCATTCGCCGTCGACACAACCCCCAAACGGGAGCAGCCTCCGAGGCAGCAGCCTCCGAGGCAGCAGCCGGTCCGGCAGCAGCCGGTCCGCCAGCAACCCGTCCGCCAGCAGCCCGTCCGCCAGCAGGCGCTGCGGCAACAGCCGGTTCGTCAGCAGCCCGTCCGCCAGCAGCCGCTGCGGCAACAGCGGCAACAACAACAGCAGCAGCAGCAGCGGCAACAGCCGCAACAGCAGCAGCGGCAGCGTCGGCAGCAGCAGCAGCAGCAGCAGGGGGGTGGGGTGGCGCCCACTCGCGAAAAGCCGCACGTGTGCGGAGACTGCGGCAAGGGCTTCGCTCACATGTCCAGCCTCACGATCCACCGGCGCACCCACACGGGGGAGCGCCCCTACGGCTGCAAGGAGTGCACCAAGGCCTTCTCCACCGTGTCGAGCCTCACGATCCACTTCCGCACGCACACGGGCGAGCGTCCGTACGTGTGCGACGAGTGCGGCAAGAGCTTCTCGCAGGCGAACACGCTGAAGAACCACGAGCGCACGCACACGGGGGAGAAGCCGTTCGTCTGCACGGACTGCGGCAAGTGCTTCACCAACATGTCGGGCCTGAAGACCCACCGGCGCACGCACACGGGCGAGAAGCCCTTCGCCTGCGTCGACTGCGGCAAGTGCTTCTCGCAGGCCAACGGCCTCAAAGACCACCGGCGCACGCACACGGGAGAGCGGCCCTTCGCCTGCCTCGAGTGCGGCAAGGCTTTCTCCAACGTGTCGGCACAGAAGATGCACATGCGCACGCACACTGGCGAGCGCCCGTACGAGTGTGAGGAGTGCGGCAAGCGCTTCACGCAGCTCTCCAGCCTCAAGGTGCACCTGAACCTGCACGGGGGCGAGCGGCCGCTCGCCTGCGAGGAGTGCGAGCGCGGCCCCCTGCGGCACGTGTGCAACCAGTGCGGCTGCGCGTTCGCGCGTGCCCACGACCTTCGCGGCCACAAGAAGACGCACACGGGCGAGAGGCCGCACGCGTGCGGGCAGTGCGGCCGCGGCTTCTCGCGCCTCTCCAGCTACGAGAAGCACCTGAGCGCGCACGCCACCGAGAAACCGCACGCGTGCGGCGTCTGCGGCCGCGCCTTCGCCCGCAAGATGAACCTCAAGGCCCACCAGCAGCTGCACACGGGCGAGCGGCCGCGCCCGTGCAACGAGTGCGGCAAGCCGTTCGCGCACGCCTGCGGCGCCAAGCGGCGCCGGGCGGCGGGCCGCGGCGGCGACGAGAGGCCGTTCGCGTGCGGGGTGTGCGGCAAGGGCTTCTCGACGCCGCTCTACCTGAAGCTGCACGAGCGCACGCACTCCGGCGGCGGCGGCGCCGGAGATCGGCCGCACCGCTGCGAGGAGTGCGGCAAGGGCTTCGCGTGCCTCTCCAACCTGGAGAAGCACACGTACGCGCGCCCGGGGGAGCGCCACCCGCACGCCTGCGTCGACTGCGGCCGCGGCTTCGCGTGCCTCTCGGAGCTGCGCAAGCACACGGCGGCGCACGCCGACAGCGGCTGGGCGCACGCGTGCGACGCCTGCGGCGAGGGCTTCTCCTGCCTCTCCAACCTCAAGAAGCACCGGCTGGCGCGCTCGTGCGTCGTCGGCGATCGCCAGCCGGCGCCAGCGCCGCCGGTGGCGGCGGCAGCACCGCCGCCGCACACGTGCGAGGAGTGCGGGGAGACGTTCTCGCACCTGTCGCACCTCAAGAAGCACGCGGGGACGCACGGCGGCGCCGAGAAGCCGCACGCCTGCGGCAGCTGCGGCAAGAGGTTCTCGCAGATCTACCACCTCAAGAGGCACCAGATGAAGCACTGGAGGGAGGCCGGCTACGTGGGCGGCCCGTGAGGCCCCACGGCGGCCGTAGGGCCCGCTGCCCGCCACGCCACCCCACGCCTCTCTCGGTTCGCTTTGGGCGGCCGCTCCTCGGAGTTGGTGACGGACGGTGGGGGGGGGGGGGGGTGAAGGAGAGAGCCGACCGAGCCGGCGACCGCGTCCGAGATCTTGCGGTTTGAATCTCGGGCTTCCTGCGTAAACCCGAGGCGGACGCGCGATTCCGAGCGCACGTGCGGGGGTCAACGGCTCGGGGTTTGTCAAGAGCATCCGAGTCCGACTTCGCCTGAAGACGGTTGTACAAAGTAAGGGAAGGGGGGGAGAGGGGGTGGTATTACGCTTTTTGAGGGCACCAGCGGCAGGGAACATTTCGGGAGGAAAACGACTTTAGAGTAAGGGGAGGGCATTTCGTGCAGAAGACGCGGTCAAGCCCTGGGCGGGTGATGAATTGGCTAAGAGGGTCGGTGCCAGCAGCTTGGTACGTGCGGCGAGTTCTTGTCCCGATCGACGATGGCTTTGCAACGACGAAGACAACAACAACAACACCCTCCCAGAGTAAAATCGTTAATTCTCCACTCAACTCGGCCACAGCCAGCGGGCTGCTTGCACCGAGGGGCTTCATTGGCAGAAATTAGCAGGGTGAGCCGCTCGCTCGCTCGACCATGCGCCGTGAGAGCAGCGGACGTCTCGCGGGACCCGCGGTGGTGCGGGACGGGGGAGACCCTTCCGAGGCGCGTTAGCCCGGGGGCCCCCGTGTCTTCAAGTCGCCGAGGGTCAATTCCGAGACGATGTTTCTGCCGTAGTTCGATTTTCCGTCGGCAAATCATCATGGAAAATAGGGGCCCCCTCCATTTGGTGAAGGTCGAGCCAGTGGCCAAATTTCAGTTCGCCCGACATCGGTTCGGAGGCGATGCGACTAAATCTCAATTGCGGGGGGTGAAAAACCGGCTTCAGGGTGGCCGGCACGAACCCCCCACCCATGTGGACCATTTGAGTGTTATCTTCGTGTGTGTGTTTCCGTGGCAACAACTTTAAACTAAATATTTTAAAAATTATGGATTGGCGAAAAAATTTAAGCGCAGAATCCCACCCCCATCCCTCCTTTGTAGAGTCTTTAGACATAGTTATTATTATTACACGATTCTTTAGACCTGGTTGGGGCGGCGACGAGGCTACAGGAAAGCCACGCCTCTGTGGAATCATCGTCCCCACCAATACGGCGTCGAATCGTCATCTCCACCATCACGGCGTCGTGCTTTTCCGGCGGCGCGCAAGATGGCCGGATGATGACGATTGGGCTTGAAGAAAAAAAATCTACAAATTTCATCTGAAGAGACGCGTGGAGTTCCAAATCTCGTCGGCTGCCTTGCATCTCCCCTTGTCCGTCTACTGTGCTCGGTAACGCGGGTCGTTGTCCTCAAGTGACCTCGACTCGAGCGGAACCCAGACTTACAAACAACATTGGAGAGCACCTGAACGTGGGCACGGCTGCCGTAGGCGACGACTTCACGATGGGGAGACGACAAGCAGAATCGGATTTATCCCCATGTCCAGCTACGGGCACGGGGGTCAGAACGTTATAACAAGAAACGTTGTGAAATAAGAGACGATACGAGTGCAAAGTATAGGAAAGGTAAACAAACTGCGTAAAAAAGAACATACAAATAAAACTACGCTATTTTTATCTCACCGGGTGAAGGCCCAATGAGCTATATTGGCTTATTTTTCAGAAGCGACCTGGCCACCACAAATGATTGCTCAACAAATTGGCTTATCGTCATCGTGTGGAAATTTATAGCAGTATCAAGGGCTGCGTGACTTCCCTTGACACCGCGCTCGGGAGCCAAACGTGAGCCTGTTACCTCTTTGAATGGGTCGGCGGTTAGAGGGGATCACGTAAAGGTGGCAGCAGCAGCAGCAGGGTTCTTTACCAGGCAGCCCATAAGCCGGACGTGGTCTGAAAAGTCTCTTGTCAGTGGCCTCACTGAGAGAATGTGGCTTATCAAGGCACGCAGAGATACAATTATAATGGAGGTTTTTTTGGGGGTTAGTTCGTGGTAAGGGTTTGATTAATTACTAGTTCAGCACTCACCGCTTGTGTGTCAGAGAGTAAACCCACAGCAGAGCATTTACAATTCGAGTAGCCGTGATGTTTCGCCCGTAATTACATCAACAACCAACCTCATCAGGCGACAGCCAGAATTGTGGACAAAACCTCCGTCCCCTTTCGGTCTTCAAAGAGAAATGCGATCAATGATGACGAGCGAAAGATAAGCGAGGGGGGGAGGGCGCTGCTGACGACCGAGAGATGAAGATCCAGTTGGGTGAAAGCAGGGACGAAGCAAGAGCCGCTTCCGCCTGACTGCGTCACGTCACGTGGCCCGTCGGCACGCGGGCAAGCGTTGTCGCGGGGCCTGCCAGCGAATCAAGCCTGGAAAAGCCTGACCTGGAACCCTGCCCATACGCGGACACTTTGCCCACGTGTCTCGGGGTTTGCCCCCCCCCTCCCCCCCGATACCGCCGTGTTTGTTGACTGCTGTCCCCACAGCCGTACCCATAAAAACTGTCGTCGGCGCGCGTCGAGGCCAACAAGTCTGGCGCTACATCATGGGACCTCCTTTGCAGACGTGATTCCTTGTAAGAGGTTTCAGTTTGGTGTTTTAACATCTTAACACTTGTTTTGTTGCCAATTTATCGTTTGACATCGGGATACGGGCAAAGGCGCGAGAAAATCCACAGCTGTTCAGTGGCATTCAGAATGCTCATTCCCAACTGGTGCGGTGGCAGATGTCCTATCAAATCCACAGATTAACGCGCTTGGCTCAATGTACACACTCAGACTCCCAGACCCATACAGAGACCCATGGATGCCCACGGAGACCCACGGAGACTCACAGAGACCCACAGATTAGCTTAGTTGGTTACGTACGGCGGTGCGAAAGAAGTTCAACGAATACACTCGGAGACCCCCAGACCCATGGAGACCCATGGAGGCCCACGGAGACCCACAGATTAGCGTGGTTCGCTACGTACGGTGCGAACGAAGTTCAACGTACATACGTGTTATCTGGACTGTGCTCCGCAACTCTCCCATCCAGCTGTGAGAACATCGCTAGCGGACCCGTGGCAGACGGACAGACGGGGGGGGAGAGCGCTTCCTTCGCTACTGAGAACCTCCCGCTCCCACCCCCACGTCATCACCAGGTCAGCCGATTGTCTGCCCGGCTTTGAGCTCCGACTCTACCTACGGACCATGCCTTTGGGTGGCGGGGGGGGGGTGGCGATTCGTCACGCTTTGTGTGGCTGTGGTGTTGTGTAGAGGATGCTACCACCGAAGACGAAACAAAGACAAAGATCCCCCGTGTAGCCTTAACAGACTATGCGGCACACGAGAGAGGTGGGTGGCCAGCACCGCGTCTCCCCAGTGGCGATGTTTATTTCGCACCGGGTACTCATTTGAGGCCGAGTCGACCTAGGGGAGGCCCAGGCCCGGTATCTGACAATTGTCCCCAGTGTTGGCCCCGCCGCCGCTCAAGTTGTCTTGCGAGGAGCTACCGTTTTGGGGCTTTTCGGCACCTGCGGCCGTGATGGATGCCGATACCCGGGGGGGGGGGGGGGGGGGGCGCATCTGTGTCGGTGAACGGAGCGCAAAGATGTCACGGCCCGCGGGGCCCCCACCCACCACTCCTTAGCACCACGGTGACCCCCGACCCCCCCCCCCCCGTCTGAGTTGCGACGATGCGGGAAGGCGAGTCGACTCGGATGGCGGCGTCGGTTTCGGTTTTCGCGATCGCTCGGCAGGGGGTGTTTCTTTTTTTTTTGCTGCCGTTGCGGTAGAAGTTTTTAGTCGTGTGGCGCCCGGGCACTCGTCTGCCCTGTGTTTCACCGTGGGTTTTGTTTATACGCGTCGTGGTGGGGGGGGGGGGGGGGGGGTGATTGTGTGCGCGTAGCCGTGAGTGTTGGATATTGGTCGACGCGGAAGTTGTTTAGCAGCGACAAGAAAAGGAAAAAAAACGACGAGTAGGAATCGTAGTGAGTGACAAAGCGCTCGGTGGACTCTTGATTGACGGCATTATCGGGCTGGGGAGACGTTAACTTCCTCGCCTGGTAGGCAGGAGGTCGTGGGTTCGATCCCGACCCTGATGCCTGCCGTATATTTGTGGTGTCTCTCTCCGCGTGGTCGTGTGGATTTCCCCCACCCCATCCACATTTAGAATCGACGTCATGTGTTCAAGAGATTTTGGCTGCTGCTTTGAATTCCACGATAAACCACTTCGGGTTGAGCTGTTATCATTTACGATGGCCCAGGTCACCCTCTGAAAAAACTGATAAAATAAAAAAACGGTTTATAGTTAAAATCTGTTCGACGAAGCTAGGTTTAGTCAAGATTGAACATTACTCATGGAGCCGGGTGGCGTGGAGGCACGTCCAGTGCGTCCCAGCGCTCGATGGGCAGCGGGTTGGCGGATCGCGCGTGCGTGAAGCTGCCCGTTCCTACTGGCCCGCAGCGTGGTCAAGAGGTTAGCGGTCCTGCAGAGAGCGCGTTCCTGAACCTGGCCAGTGCAGATCTTTTGTTGCTTTTTCTTATGCATTGTTCTCCCCATATGGCACGGTTAGTTTCATCCGGGCTACTCGGGATTTCTTCCCCAAATGAAGTCGAAAGCCGCCGCTTAGTTTAGCGAAAACACAAGACACGTGCTAAAGGAAATTGGGCAAAACCGTCCCAAATGCAGAACCCGCTTGAGAAAAAGTTTTGAGGCTTGGTGTGAGGATTTTCTGTATTGTTTGTGGATAATAATATTAGTATTATAAGGACAAATGAGTTGTAGGATCGCAGGGAGGGGTGGGGATTAAGGAGTTGTAAGGAGTGGTGAGGAGGAATGAGGAGTAGTGATGAGGGAGTGAGGAGGGGGGGGAGCGGCGAGGGGTGGGAGAGTGGCGAGGGGGGGTAGGAGAGAGTTGAGGGACGGTGCTAGCGAGGACCTTAGCCGAGTTGCGTTGACGAGTTCCCCACGTTGTGAAACGGTGAACCAGCACTCGCGTGCGGTCGACTGAAGCACGGCTAAGCTTAGAGTCCGCTGGACTGTTATACTGTAGTTGTAATCGCGACTTGAATAGTCTTATATATACATGTGCGTGCGCGCCAGCGCGTGTGTAGTGTTCACGGTCTGTTTTCCATTTCCTGGTAAGTCGGTGTATTTTTATTTTAACCGGGCAACGACAACAACAACAAAACACGGCCGGATGATAATTGTGGCTTTCACGCGGTGTTGAAATTTATCTTTTTTTTTTTCCCCAAAGCGTTTGGATTTTTGGCAAGGACGTCAGGCAAACCGAAGAGTCGCCTGCGGGGCGGTATCACCACGTATTTTAAGGTCCCCCCCCCACTTCCTCCTCCTAACCTCGCAACGGTTCTCCCGTTCGCGCGCCTCTGGAATTACCGATCCGGCCCTTCAGGCAGGAGTCAAACTTCTCGTTCTGCGGCTCCGGGTCCCGGGGGCGCACGCCGCTAAACCGCCGCGACGCATTGACTCTGTCGCCCGGTAAAAAAAAAAAAATCCCACTAAAAATCCGTGCCTACCGATGAGCGCGGGTTGGCTACATACGGTGCGAAAGGAAGTTCAATGGTTCGTACGTGCGTACGTCAAATCCTCGCCAGAAGTTGCACCTTATCCCTACGTGGATAACTGTTTAAAAGAGACCCCCGCGTGTGACTTTCTCCCTCTCCGCCGACAAAGCCTGCCATCGCGCGGCGGTGGCTCGGAGATGTTGACTCCCTCGCCTGGTGTGGTAGGAGGTCGTGAGTTCAATCCCGACCCTTGACGCCTGATGTATATTTGGAGTTTCTGTCTCTCCCCATGGTCGCGTGTTTTTTTTTCTCGGGTCCTCCGGTTTTTCCCTCCGCATTTACAATGAACGTCACGCATTTATTTGGCCGATGCTGTAAATTTCCACACGGTGATGATAAGCCACCTGGTACAGCTGTTATCATTAGTGATAGCCAGGTCGATTCTTAAAGAGAGCTACATGGCAGCTCAGTGGGCCTTACCTAATAAAATAAAATGTATTTATTCGTAAATACTTAAGTTTGCAACTCGGCCAAAAACTGCAGTCGTTTTTTTTACCAACTTCGTTCAAACTGTGCGGTGACGTACCGTTAGAGCGCGACGTACGGTTCTTGTATGGATCATGTACGGTTCACGTGCGACGTACGGTTTGCGTGTGACATACGGTTCATGTACGGTTTGCGTGTTACATACGCTTAATGTACGGGTCACGTGTGACGTACGGTTGATGTATGGTTCATAAGCTACGTGCAGTTCATGTATGGGTCACGTGTGACTAGAGGCTGACCAAAATTTGGTTTCGGCGCCGTAAGTTGGCAAATGGCCTCTTTCGGTGTACTTTCGGTTTCGGCCAAAAGTACATTTTTAACTTTCAGTCTGGTTTCGGTTTCGGCCAAAACTGATATTCACTTTCGGTCGTCATTCGTCAACCGAAGATCTATTTTTAGAATATAAGCTAGTGCTACGTTTATCACTCTGCCTATCAGTCGGCACTAGGCAATCCTACACACACACGTCAGCATCAGCAGCAGCTTGGGAGCGAGGTTACAGCCGCAACCATGGTCTGCTAATGTATATACGACCGGTCAACAGACGGCAAGCCTGTCTGGCTGAATGCAGAAAAACTGTTGTTTCTTAACTCCAAAATTCGTTTGTTTGGATATAATTACTAAGTAAGTAACACCTAAATATTTTATATTTAGCGACTCTTACTGCAGGCTCTGATTGATTAGTTCTAGATTTATTTTTAATTAAAGTAGCATTGCATCACAACATTTCATAAATCTTGTGTTTGGTAACTTCGGTTATATACCTTTCTGTTTCGGTCTCAGTCGAAAGTGTATTTAAACTTTCGGTTTTGGTCAAAAGTGTAGTTAACTTTCGGTTTTGGCTTCGGTTTCGGCCAAACCCGAAACCAGAAATTCAGTTTAGGTCGGCCTCTACGTGTGACGTACGGTTCATGTAGGTCACGTGTGATGTACAGTTCACGTACGGGTCACGAGGGACGTACGGTTCATGCACGGTTCGCGAGCGACGCACGGTTTGCGTGCAAGCGTGGTTGGAGGCGAGTCTGGGAGAGAGGCTTATTCTGGAGCGTGGAATGCCCTGCCCTTGTTAAAGTGGTGACACTGGGAACTGGCGACCAGGCAAGCCACCGGAGGAGCAGAGTCTTACAGGCGGCGCGAGCTTCAGAAAGATCGCCGAGTCTTAGGATTCCGCGTCCCCTTCGTAATCAACCGGAGATCTCTTTTAAGCGAGAGATCTCTCCCCCAGTGCTGTCCTCCAGGCCCTCATTTCGAGATCAAAATAATGCCTCCCAGCAGCAGAGCGTCGCCTCAACGGGCAACTCGGAAGTGTCGCAATTGAAAAGAGATGACCCGAAAAAAAACCCCCATTACCCCCCAGCATTACATTACGTCGCTTGAATCGTCGACAAAAGTACCCGTCCATTCTGGCGTGGATGATTGTTCCACATTCCTCCGTCCAAGAAAAAAATACCAAAGGCCAATGGCACATTTCCATCAACTTGTCATCGAAATCCTGCAGAAATATTGGACCGCGGGAGGGGAAGGCCGTCGTCGCTCTGCAATGTTATCACTCGCCCGTGCGATGCGACGGGGAAGAGGATTTGGGCACGTGTCGACTATGTTTGTTCTTTCTTTTTTTGAAACCCCTGCCTCTTGGAGGCTTACCGTTTTTAAGAACGACGATGGTAAATAAAAATGAAATTGCCCGAAAAATCAATTGCACTTGGTAACCGGTGTGTACGTTGGATGTTATAAACCTGGGGTCCAAGTGTGGGATATTTTGTGGTCGGGGGAAGAAAAAACCCGTTAAAGACACTTTCACAAGACCCTTGCAAAAAACCCCTAATATTTAGTTATTTTCTGATTGTTTTGCTTGCACGTGCTCTGCTATGTTTAAGTAATGTTATTGTAGTCGCATTGTAGATTAGGTATATACACAGCCTGAATTGTCGCGCTAGACGGTTAAATGGCAGCGAATCCCGTCGCACATTAACCTGGACGGATTCTATGTGCTGGACTGAATAATAATATTTTTTTTGCTGTTACCATTTGTCGTTCTTTTCAGTCTCGATAAACCATTGAATAGGGTTACGAGGGGCCGGTAAGCTTTTAGGAGGAATCCTGCGGACGCTGTCAGGAGGTGCATAACTTGTCAATCGTTGACTGATGGTGGATGTCAGCAGATTTGGGCGTAAGGAACTAAAAGCATGACATTGTTCCAGCAGCTTTGTAAATGGTTTTTAACGAGTGCTGCCAAGTAGGTTGTCCTCCAATTGTGTGTAATTTGGATTCAGAACTGCGAACGGGGAGGGGATTTTGTCCTGCATTGCGTTCGTCATCTAGAAACGTTGGGTGCTGCGTTCCCCCGGTACGCGCCTCGCTGGCGTGATTTTTAACTAGTGCTGCGCAGTAGGTTGTCCTTCAATTGTTTGTAATGTAGAGGCATTAATCGGCACTCCCCATGCTGTTAGCGGGTAGCTTCCCCTTCGCGTCACCAGGGAACGGAAGTGCGATTACGCTAATGTAAAGGACTATGGCCAAAGGGGCCAACGGTAATCCCTGGGATAATGGATCCTGGGACACAATCCCCAAACCCCGGGAGGGGGGACTGGGGGATGATGTCACCTTCCAGAAGGTTCTGGAAGGGAGGCGTGGCTAGGGCGGAGCAAGCCACGGACCTGTATATAAGCCGGACCTCTGAAGGGTCCGGCTCGGTCATCTCCAAGCCGAAGACCGAAAACGGGGCTGAAGATAGGACCCTGGACCCCAAGCTCCATTGTCCTTCTAAGGGCCGGAGCTGAGTGAGGCCAGTGGTCAGGACCCGGAGACCTTGGCACGGTCGGGTCAGCGTAGCCTCCCCTAGGACTCTAGCCGGAGGGCTAAGAATTAGAGTGGTCCCAGTGTTAGTCGGCAGTGTAGCCCGGAGGCATACCCCTCCTCAGGTATCGGGTGAATGGCGCCGTTACCCCTTTGTGTTAGGGACCCTGTATTCAGAGCAGTTAAATAAATATTGTGTTGCCTCACAGAAGTTTTCCTCTGATTATTGACCCACTACAACTGGTGTCAGAAGTGGCCAAGCATGGAAACCAGGAGGAAAGATCGTACCCGGAGCCCGGGCGAAGACGTGGACGATACGGCTGCATGGACAGCGAGCCCTGCTGATGACGGCGATAAATTTGGATTCAGATTAATTCCACTTGCTAGAATGTTTATTCCGGCGAATGATACAGCGAGACTGACGTGACATGTTGCTTGCGAAGGAATGTTGGCGCATTTTAAGTTGCGGCCAAATGTCTCTCTGTCTCTCTCTCGGCCATGGGTGCTCCACGACACCGCCACGCCGGGCGTGTAGGCTGCACCAGCATCGAGCTGTGATGTTTAGCGCGGCACGAGGGGTAGTTTTTGGACGACCCCCGCCAACCACAAGGGCGTTGCTCTGTCCACTGTAGTTTGAATCGTTGCATCCCTTTTAAACAAATCGGACACCGCCGGGTTCCCTTCGCCGAGCGCTGTGACCTACGAACCAACTAAAGACCATGTGACTTTACCGAAAAAACCTAAGAGTATAAAGACCATGGGCCTGTCTTGAGGTGAAGCAGAGAAAGCTGCTAAAGACTGCCTGGCGACGCACAGTTCGAGACCAACTAAAGACCATGGGCCCCGTCTTGGGGTGAAGCAGAGACAGCTGCTAAAGACCGTCCGGCATGGCGTGGACTTGTGTTGCCGACTTACGCTCCACAGGCAGCGAAGAGGAGTAAGTAAGTGACCCATGAACGGCTTTCGTTCCCATCGGCTTGAGTCGTGTTACCAGGGGGACCGCTGTGACAGCTACAGGCTGAGAGCGGCTTTGAAGCGTGTTATTAAGTAATACGTCTTACAACTGCCATTACCTTATAGAGAAAACGTGCTAATTAACCGATTACTAATCTATTATATGATTACAATACCCCCCCCTCCTCCACCTCTGATCTCTGCATCTGATGGGTTCAGTGATGACGTCATCTTGCTCTATCTAGGACCGGAAGCAGGTGGATTGCTTCACTATTCTGGCAAAACGCCTCATGATGCTGGTTGATGTAATTGTAATGTGAGGATATATCCGGCTCACTGACATATCACAACTCGTCATGATGATTGGCTCTGCCGGTCCTGGTTTATAGCCAATGGGGGGAAGCCTAGGGGCGTGGCCCTGACGTAATGGAAAGGTGACAGCTGTAAGTAGAGGATTGGTTCTGCTGGCTTTGGCTACAGCCAATGCGGAGATGAGTCAGGGGCGTGGTCCTGGGAGTCTACGAGGGAGCCTGGAATATTCCATGGAGGCTAACCAGGATTGGTGGAAACGTACCACGTGACCCGGGTATTAAATAGGGGTGGAGACGAACGACACGTGGTCAGAACGGGAACGAATGGAGGAAGGGGGCCACGCGTGAGCGGAGCTCCGGATTGCCACGTGGTGGCGTCTCTCTATCTATCCCTCTCACGCTGCCTGTCAGCAGCGTGAAGGAAAGCTGTAATGCAAGTTGAATTAAAGACCGGATTCCAGAAGTCGCCTCAACGACCTTTATTACATAATTACCAGCGAATCGTTGTATTATTCAAATAAAAAATGTTGTGGAATTACTCCGACACAACGGTGGGCTGAAGTAGTAATGAATTGGCGCGTTGTTTACGTGACAAACCTTACTGGCTGTGTCGGGTGGTGGAGGGTTACGACAACATGTATAATTACAGCGATCTAACCCAAACACCTTTATTACGACTAATATTGGTCGCGCAAACTGCCTAATACGTGTTAAACGTACACCATTTAGCCCGTCATTGCTACCACTCGGGTGAAATTCTGCGGTCTCGTGGTTTAAGTGTTCTCCTTCACACTGCTGAGCTGCAGATTTAGCTTCAGACTCTGACCCGATAACCGCGGTGCCGTTTCTTCCCGTGCGATCACCGGATGCACCGTAGCCCTCTTCGATTGAATTTGTGATGAGATGGAGATTGTTGGTCTCTTCGCCGCATCAAGCGCGTACATTGTATGGTTCTAGAACAGGGGTGGGGAACGTCCGGCCCACGGGCCGTATAAGGCCCGCGAAATCATTTGGTGTGTGGCCCTGCCAAAGCAACCGCAGGCTGGGACTCGAAATTCAATAAATCTAGGAGCAAACCTGGAAAAGCAGTTTGCGAGTAGCAGCAACATCGTCAACACCAGCTAACAACATCACACGCCTCGCCAAAGAGAAGCAGTTCCAGCCATCGCATTCGGGGCGGGTTAATTAAATGTTTGACCAAATATAACGGGCTAATTTTTAAGTTGATCATTTTGTATGGCCCCGCGAATGATGTTATATAAATATCCAAATGGCCCTTGGCAGACAAAAGTGTAACCATAGAGGAGGGTGGAGGGGGGGGGACTGTTATTCGATCTTCCTCCCGAGGTTAGCAACTTGGGCGTTATGTTAGACCCCGTTTAACATGTTGGAGGCTCGTTTAGTTTTATTTTTTTTCTCCTCCGCTTGTTCAATGCGGCTTGGCCGAGACCTGTACCGCTATCCCACCACCGAGAGGGCGATTTTCATTTCATCGTGTTGATTGGGTCACTGCAAAAATGAATCGAACGACTGGAGTGTGGTTTTTGTAAACGATCTACAATTCGAGGAGGGCTGTAAATGGGGGTTGGGGGGGAATCAGCTGGTGGCTGGGTGGAGGCAGTGGCCATGCGGATCGGCTCTGTCGTCATGGCGTGGCTAGCGGTGATCTACCTGCGGTGCTCTTGCGCGTTCTCTCCGGGTGTTCTGTGGTCTGTTGTTGTTGCTGCCTCACAAACGCCTTAGACTGGTGTCTACTTCCCCAGCAGGAGTTTACCTTAAGTCCATTTTGAAGATTGAAGACTGAAGAGGCTTTCCCGGGTACGTAGCCAACCGTGCTAATCTGTGGGTGTCTTTTTGGGTGTCTGTAGGTGTCTGGGTCGGTGTGTGTTGAACTTCCTTCGCGCCGTACGTAGTCAACCGTGCATTGCAGGAGGTCGTGGGATCGATCCCAACCCTGACGCCTGCTACTGTATATTTGGAGCCTGTTTCTCTCTCTCTCATCATCACGGTGGCTAGGTAGATGTTAACTACCTCTCGCCATATCTGGCGGGGGTGGGGTTCAAAGGTGACGTTCCCCCAACGGTGAAATATTAAAAACTAGCTGATATACCCGGCGTTGCCCGGGCCAAAAAATATATAAAAAACTACTCTTAAAAATCTAACAGCAGTGCGTACTGACTGGTAGTACCTGCTATGATTACAGCAGTGCATACTGGTGATACCTATGATTACAGCAGTGCATACTGTGGTACCTGCTATTACAGCAGTGCATACCGACTGTGGTGGTACCTACTATCACTACAGTAGTACATGCTGACTCTATAGCAGTATGTATCGACTCTATAGCACAAAGTACTCACCTGACAGAGTGGCGTGGTGAGGCCTAGTCCCGTGCAGAGCCTCCGGTCTCGCCTAGATTGTCCAGCCGGCCGAGGTGGCACCTTGGCAGGCTGGGGCTGGGCTGCTATCCCCCCCCCTCCCCCCCGCAGCCATGATCTCCCCGGCCGCTCTGCAGTAATATCTATGGCCTATAGTGGTAGCATCTATCGACTGTATAGTAGTAACTGCACGCATCGGGGTGGGGGGGACATCACACAGTGAAGAATTTACCTGAGCATTTAGTGTACAGTAAAACCTTGGATTGTGAGCATAATTCGTTCCGGAAACGTGTTTGTAATCCAAAGCACTCGTATATCAGTTGTGATCACGTGACACTCGGCAGACAAAGCGTATGCACGTACTACTCGTATTGCAAGACCTCGCTCGTTTATCAAATTCATATTTATTTTATAAATGTGCTCGTCTTGCAAAACACTCGCAGACCAAGTTACTCACAATCCAAGGTTTTACTGTATTTTTTATAGCATTTTTAACGTGAAAGAAAATGTCCCCCTCACTCCCACCAAAGGTGCGCGAGTTGGTATGGCCGTGCACGTGTCATAAATAAATAATCGTTAATTAAACGAATTAAAAGTTGACGGAGATGAAAAAGGAAATAGCGCTTGCTCACGGCGGGGCTTACGGAGTGGTACCTGGCTATTTTTATTTAACCTAAACCCCACCGTTGGAGAGGCAACTCCTTCGTAAGCGTGCGAACACACAAACCCACAAACCCCGCCACAAACCCACACGCAAACAACTTTAGACTTTTTTATATATATAGAAGAAAGAAGATAGAAGAAGAAGATAGAAAGATTGATTCTACCGATCGACACAAGAGCACTCCGTTTGAACAAAAGAACAACCGTTGGTTTCGTCAACTCGGTCGATGGGCGTCGATCAGAGGTCGCAACCGGGTACCCGATACCCGTACCCTACCCAATTCCCGGCTACCCGTACCCGGCTGGGTTTGTGACCCTGGTGCGGCCGGGTACGGGTACGGGTAGACCGTGAGTCACTGGTGAGTAACCATTTGTCACTCATTTCCCAACGTCTTGTCTCTTCTCACAATTCAAGTTCCTAGAATCAACCCACCTGCGCCTGCAACATGGCTTCATCCCAGAGGTCGCAATCAGGTACCTGATACCCGTACCCTACCCAATACCCGGCCGGGTACGGGTAGGGTACGGGTACGGCCGGGTACGGGTACCCGTTTGCGACCCTGGTGCGGCCGGGTACGGCCGGGTACGGGTAAGGAATCAAAACCCTGTTTGCGACCTCTGGCGTCGATCGACTACCACAAGCTTTGTAGTTGTTGCAGCGGGCTGCCCTCATTGACGCGTAGCAGTCGGTCTTTCGCGACCAAATATTATTCATTTGGGGTTGCATGCCCGTGTCAACCCACACGGTTTAACTCGTATTCTTGTACAGGTGAAATTGAGTTTTCAGGTCCATATGGCATGAAGCCGTTTCAATATGCGCAAACACAATTAATGTGTCCTGTGTGTTTGTGTTTCTCTCCTTGTGATGGAACTTCGTAGGATGAACGTTGAGATTTGTAAGGGACATGGGGTGACCAACAAGGTCTGAATTGGTTTGTAATAAGGTAGGGTGCTGGTAAGGGGTTGACAGGCATGATATAGACAGAGACCCACAGAGAAAGAGAGACCCGCAGAGATACATAGACCCGCAGAAATACATAGAGATACACAGAGACCCATAGAGATACACAGAGACCCATAGAGATACAGAGATACCCACAGAGATACCCACAGAGATACAGAGATACCCACAGAGATACACAGAGACCCACAGAGATACACAGAGACCCACAGAGATACATAGAGACCCACAGAGATAGAGATACCCACAGAGATACATAGAGATCCACATGGATGCATAGATATAGCAAACCTGTTAACCCAAATGGTTTCCTCCGTATTCTTGTGCAGGGAAATTTCGTTTTGAGGTCCATACGGTGTCCAGCCGTTTAAATTCTGGCAAAATTAAAAAAATGTTGCGTTTCTCTCCTTGTGATGGGACTGTAGGATGAAAGTTGAGATTTGTAAGGGACACGGGGTGATCAATACGTTCTGAATTGGTCTGTAATAAGGTGGTGAGGCACTGATAAGGGGTTGACAGCGGTGGTGGTTGCATTGCAGAATCGCCCAGATGACGCTGGCTGATATAATCGCCAGCGGAAGGTCACTTATATATATTCTAAATTACGCTAATTAGGAAGGTGTAGTTGTATTTAGTTATGCGAGTGTATGTAATTATTTACAACCGTGTGATGTATATATTCGGTCTTGAAAAGTGAAAAATTAGCATTTTCCCGAAATTATGCTAATTAAGCGTTATGCTAATTAGGAAGGTGTACTCGTTTTAAGTTATGTAAGTGTATGTAGACAACGAAGCCGAGCCTAATTATCATAATAAATTATCATAATTACACACACTTACATAACTTAAACATTTTTTCAAGACCGAAGATATACAACGTCACACGCCACTCGAGTTTAAAATGTTCCAGCGGTTTTTTGCTCTCCAACACACAACCGGTTAGTGCTGAACTCGTAACAAATTTTAGAACTTTCGTGACTGCAGTAAATGATTATTTGGTTCTTTCGGTTAAGTCACGTCTAAAGATAAAATAATAAATTAAATTAAATAATAGCATACGACGTTTCGATTGCAACACAAGCAATCATCATCAGGTATAATGAAATAGCGACATAAAATCTAACCAGAAAACTATAGACAGACATATTAGCAGACAGATATCACCAAGATACATAGAGGGAGCAACACAGGAACCAGAGAGGGGTGATCATCTCTGTGGGGTGGCCTTAAATAGACAGAGGGGGGAGGAGGCAGAGAGAGGGAGGGGGTTGGAGAAAACATTTGCATATCAATGAGTGGTCCAAAAAACAAGGTTCTGCAAGTGCGATGACACGGCAAGCAAGTCTGAAAATCAGAAGGACAAACTAAAATTCAATAACCTAGCAAAATATCGAAATGTAATGTAATACAACACAGAGGGTCGGTCAACACACAATTAACGCATAGCCTGGTTGATTACGTATTTCAAAGATTGCTAAGTTAGAATTTAAGTGTGAATGTTCAAAGATTGCTAAGTTAGAATTTAAGTGTGAATGTTCACACTTAAATTCTAACTTAGCAATCTTTGAAATACGTAATCAACCAGGCTATGCGTTAATTGTGTGTTGACCGACCCTCTGTGTTGTATTACATTACATTTCGATATTTTGCTAGGTTATTGAATTTTAGTTTGTCCTTCTGATTTTCAGACTTGCTTGCCGTGTCATCGCACTTGCAGAACCTTGTTTTTTGGACCACTCATTGATATGCAAATGTTTTCTCCAACCCCCTCCCTCTCTCTGCCTCCTCCCCCCTCTGTCTATTTAAGGCCACCCCACAGAGATGATCACCCCTCTCTGGTTCCTGTGTTGCTCCCTCTATGTATCTTGGTGATATCTGTCTGCTAATATGTCTGTCTATAGTTTTCTGGTTAGATTTTATGTCGCTATTTCATTATAAAGATTGCTTGTGTTGCAATCGAAACGTCGTATGCTATTATTTAATTTAATTTATTATTTTATCTTTAGACGTGACTTAACCGAAAGAACCAAATAATCGTAACGAATTGGCCACGTTTTGAGTAAAAACAGGTGGTGTTCAGATGTTCAAGCACCAAACAGAAACCTTTTGCAAGGAATCTGCATTAACCACGCACCGTATTTGCTGTGAACATGCAAACAAAAGTCGTGTTTAAGACAACTCCTGTTTTATTATGCCCTGAAAGGCTAAAACCTATTCTTATTTTTCCACACTTCAGATACCGACAAAAAAATAGGGCCCCACGTCTTTGCGTGGCACAAACCCACACCGAGTGGGCTCTGGCGGGTTTAACCGACAGGTTTGTACTTCACGCGGATTCTAACCCTCGAACAAGAACATATTTAAAATGGACAACTTTTTGTTGTTGAGATACCATCACGTTTGGGGCCGTCCATAAATGACGTCACGCGATTTTGGACGATTTTTAACCCCCCCCCCCTCTCGTCACACGGCGTCACAAAAAGTCAGACCCCCCCCCCTCAAATATGACGTCACAAAGCTCTGCCCCCCTCCCCCCCCCAAAATGCTTCAAATCGCTTTAAACTATTGTCATTGTTGTGCGTATTTATTGTGGCGCTGCACTCTGATGTTGCAGGAGAAAACATTAGAAAGTCAATTTAATTAAGTAGAACGTGTTGTCTATATTTATTTAAAATTGCGCATTTTGATATGACGTCACATTTCTCAAACCCCCCCCCCCCCCCCCCGTCGTCACACATCGTCACAAATGTCTGACCCCCCCCAGGTGCGTGACGTCATTTATAAACGGCCCCTTACTCAGGCCCCTGTAAAAACAAAATGGCGGCCGCCCCTACGCACCACCCAACCCCTCCCAACCAGACAAGCCACGACGCGGCTGATGATGGCGATGCTGGTCGCGAAGCCCCGGCCATCACCTCCCTTCCAGAGGCACACACACGAGAGAGAACAGCGGCGAGCCCATGCCAACGATCATCGCGCTCCTCCCACATTCGGTCGGGCAATTGAAGCGATGGTCGGTCGAGTGAACGGTTTCGTACGCACTCTACTTCTTTCGCACCACCGTATGTGGCACAAACGCGCTAACCTGTGGGTCTCTGTGGGTCTCTGTGGGTCTCTGTGGGTCTGGGTGTCTATGGGTCTCTGTCTGAGTGGACTTGACGATGACCGGTACCAGCGGTGTCAAGATCGGCCTCTGTGGAGGAAGCTCGTGAAGGACGCTACTGGGCAGTTGGAGGCAGTCGGCCTCCAACAACAACGGAGGGTGGAGGAGCGACGCTCACAACAATGAGCGGAGCGCCGTGTGGCTAAAGCACAGCAAGTTGGCACAGTAGGCGGCACAGGTGGTGCATCAGCCAGTCATCTCGGTCATCTCAGTCAGTCGACCCGTGGCACCTGCTGGGTCTGCCCCGTGACCTCCTGCCAGCGGGCGTTCGACACTTCACGTGGCCTCAAGGTGCACATAGCCTGGCACAAGCGTCGTGGTGACGTCAACGCCACTTAGTGGCAAATGGCGGTTGTTTGTTGAACTTCTTTCGCACTGCCTTACGTGTGCCAACCGCTCTAATCTGTGCCTCTCTGTGGGTCTCTATGGGTTTGGGTGTCTGGGTATCTGTATGTACGTTGAAATTCTTTGGAACTGTATGTAGACAACCGTGCTAATCTGTGGGTCTCTATGGGTCTCTATAGATGTCTCTGTGGGTGTCTGTGGGTCTGTGGATATATGTTTCTGTGGGTCTCTGTGTATGTTGTATGTTGTGGGGAGCGGTAGCGTAGCGGTTAGCGCTACGCTGCGCTACGAACCTGGCGACCCGGGTTCGATTCCAGCTCACAGCAAACACCAGTGGCGATTATCTGAACCGGTCCTGGGCCTCCCCTAGATCGACTCAGCCTCAAATTAGTACCTGGTGCGCTGTGTAAACATCGCCACTAGGGAGTCAAAGGCGGCCAGACGTGGTGTTGGCCACCCCCTCGTGTGCCGTGCCGGCCTTCATAGGTGTCTGTGGGTCTCTGTGTGTGTATGTGCGTTGATCTTCTTGCACACTGTACGTAGCCAACCGTGCTAACCTGTGGGTCTCTGTGGGTCTCTGTGGGTTTCTATGGGTCTGGGTGTCTGTGGGTCTCTGTGTGTGTCTGTATGTTGAACTTCTTTTGCACACTGTACGTAGCCAACCGTGCTAACCTGTGGGTCTCTATGGGTCTGGGTGTCTGTGGGTCTCTGTGTATGTATGTGCGTTGAACTTCTTTCGCACCGTACGTAACCGACCATGCTCATCGGAGGTGCGCGGGGGGGGGGGAGGAAAGGTGGACAACAAACCAAACGCAAAAAAAATCATTTCTAAAGAAACGAGTTTGTCAACTTAGACGACAATGCCGACGACGACGACGTCAAAGTGCATCGCAGCTCCCGGAGCGGGAGAGAGCGTTCCGGACGGCCGCGCCGGACGCAGCTCGCCGTGGTGACGGCGCCGCGACGATCCGCGGGGAGCGTCAGGGCCGCTGCTCCCTCGGCTGACTCTTGAAACCGGCGGCGGCAGTCTCAGCCGCGGCCCGGAAGCGAAGAATTTCGGCGAGGGCTCGCGGACGGCCCTTGCGTAGGCCCCGGCGGTCGCGTGGCAGCGGCGACGTCACCGCGGTCGCCGCCGCCGCCGCCGTCACCGCCGCCGTCACCGCCGCCGCCGTCGCCGCCGCCGCCGCGGGCGCCTCTCCCCTCGCCACCATCTTCTTCTTCTTGGACACGAGCACGTCGATGCGGCCGCGCGATATCCCGTAGATGCTCGCGAACGCCTTCTTGCACACCTGCACGTCGCCTCCTCCTCCGCCCCCCCCTCCGCCCGCCGGCGTGGCGACGTGGTAGGCGACGCTGCACGAGCGCTTGTCCCGGGCGCTCTTGGAATAGCGCCGCTTCACGTCCTGCACCAGGATCCTGCCGAAGAGGTACGCCGTCTGTGCGTCGTAGCCGCCGCGGCCCAGCTCCCGCCAGAAGTGGGAGCAGATCTCCCGGCGGTAGTCCTCGTCCACCTTGGCGAAGCACTCGCGCTTGCAGCCGCAGTCAGGCCCCACGGCCACCACGGAGGGACGCGTCTCGCGCCGCGCCGCCCCGCCGCCGGGCCGGGCCGGGCAGGCGCCCGCCGCCATCCGGCGCACCGCCGCCTCGATCGTCTTCTTCTCCCTGGGCCTCCTGCGCTTGCGGGGGGCCGCCACGTCTCGGGGGGCGGCCGCGGCGTCGGCCTGGCGGGGTTCGAGGCGAGAATGTGGCAAGGTCAGGGTTCACATCCCGAGCCTGACGACGCCTGCTGCTGTAGATTTGAAGTCTGTGTCTCTCTCTCTCTCATCGTCATCACGGTGGCTAGGAGATGTTAACTACCTCGCCTGGTGTGCAGGATGTCGTGGGTTCTATCCCAACCCTGACGACGTCTGCTGCTGTAGATTTGGAGTTTGCGTCTCTCATCATCATCATCATCACGGTGGCTAGGAGATGTTGACTACCTCGCCTAGTACGCAGGAGGTTGTGGGTTCTATCTCGACCCTGACGATGCCTGCTGCTGTAGATTTGGAGTCTGCGTGTCTCTCATCACCACGGTGGCTAGGAGATGTTGACTACCTCGCCTGGTACGCAGGAGGTCGTGGGTTCGATCCCGACCCTGACGATGCCTGCTGCTGTAGATTTGGAGTCTGCGTGTCTCTCATCACCACGGTGGCTAGGAGATGTTGACTACCTCGCCTGGTACGCAGGAGGTCGTGGGTTCGATCTCGACCCTGACGACGCCTGCTGCTGTAGATTTGGAGTCTGCGTGTCTCTCATCACCACGGTGGCTAGGAGATGTTGACTACCTCGCCTGGTACGCAGGAGGTCGTGGGTTCGATCCCGACCCTGACGATGCCTGCTGCTGTAGATTTGGAGTCTGCGTGTCTCTCATCACCACGGTGGCTAGGAGATGTTGACTACCTCGCCTGGTACGCAGGAGGTCGTGGGTTCGATCTCGACCCTGACGACGCCTGCTGCTGTAGATTTGGAGTCTGCGTCTCTCTCTCTCTGTGGTCGCGTGGGAGGTTTTTCTCCAGAGTCCCAGAGTTTTTCCCTCCACATTTAGGATCGTCGTGCGTTCAGACTCTATTATTTAGGGTATTTGGCCGCGGCTATGAATTTCCACACGATGATGATGATGACGATGAGCTACTTTGTTGAGTGATAATTTGTAATAGGAAGAGTCGCTTCTGGAAAATATGCTAATAGCTCAGTGGACTTTAACCTGGTAACATTAACAAAAAATGTTTAGTTTTATTTGCATCTATTTTTAAGTGATCCGTTTACCTTTCCTACACTTTGAACTCCGATCGTGCGTTTGCATCGTTTGTTGTTGTTAACGGTCTGACCCCGTGTCACCTAACTGGACATCTGTGAGCAAAGAGCTGTAGTCGCGTAGAAGGGAAATAATAAAAATATTAAACAATAAAATTCTCACGACGTTTCGATTGCAACCCATGACGATTGCTTGTGTTGCAATCGAAACGTCGTGAGAATTTTATTATGTAAAATTTTTATTCTTTTATTATTTCCCTTCTACGTGACTTTACCGAAAGAACTAAGAATATAGCTTTAGCGCACTTTAAAATAAAACCGTTGTTTTTTTAAAAGTTTTCTTAACTTTTTTTTTTACTTTTTTCAAGGAGTTTAATCTGAAGTGACCCTGGCCTTCACTTAATGATCGCAGCTCAACCGCGTGGCTTACCATCCACCATCACGTGGGAATGCGCAGCAGCAGCATGATCCAATTCATCTGAATGCGAGGTTACCGAGCCTGTGGTTAAGTTGGCTCAAGACGCTCAACAGCTGTTGAAAGTTTGACAGATCAGGGGAATGCCATGATGAGCCTCAGAGAAACCGGCTGTGATCAGAGGTCGCAACCGGGTACCCGATACCCGGCTACCTGTACCCGGCCGGGTACGGGTACCCGTTTGCGACCCTGGTACGGGTACGGGTAGGCCGTGAGTCACTGGTGAGTCACCGTTTGTCACTCATTTCCCAACGTCTCGTCTCTTCTCACAATTCAAGTTCCTAGAATTAACCCACCCGCGCCTGCAACATGGCTTCATCCCAGAGGTCGCAATCGGGTACCCGTACCCGGACCCTACCCGTACCCAGCCGGGTATGGGTAGCCTGGTATCGGGTAGGGTACGGGTACCCATTTGAGACCCTGGTGCGGCCGGGTACGGGTAAGGAATCAAAACCCGTTTGCGACCTCTGGCTGTGATGCAATGAGGAGACTCACTTCAATCGATGAAAAGTCCCTCAGCCCCTCATCCGGATTCTCCGTGTGGCCGCGAGCCCAGCCTCCTCCATCGCCGTCATCGCCATCAACATCGTCGCCACCTTCACCGTCACCACGTTCATCGACGCCATCGTCGCCACAGCACCATCATCATCATCGCCGCCATCGTCACCACCACCACCATCATCATCATCGCCATCATCAACATCGTCGCCACCTTCACCGTCACCACGTTCATCGACGCCATCGTCGCCACCACCACCATGATTATCGGCATCATCATCATCATCGCCACCTTTACCGTCACCACAATCATCGTTGCCACCACCACCATCATCATCATCATCGCTGTCATCATCATTGCCACCTTCACCATCACCACCGCCACCATCATCACCGCCACCATCATCATCGCCACCATCACCATCGCCACCGCCACCACCATCATCGCCATCTTTCACCCCCCCCCCCCCACACACTCATTTATTTGAGCCTACGCACCTGGACCCACGTTCAGCACACAAAGACAAAGATCCCCCGTGTAGCCTCAACAGACTGTAGGGGCAAGTGCTGTTAGCGAGCACCTATGAAGGCCGGCACGGCACACGAGGGGGTGGGTGGCCAGCACCACGCCCGACCGCCTTTGTCTCCCCAGTGGCGATGTTCACTACACACTGCACCAGGTACTCATTTGAGGCTGAGTCGTCCTAGGGGAGGCCCAGGACCGGTTCAGATCATCGTCACTGGGTGGTGCTGGTGGCCCTGAGCTGGAATCGAATTCGGGTCGCTGGGTTCGTCGTGCAGCGTAGCGCTAACCGCTGCACCACCGCTCCCCACACTCACAGAGACCCACAGATTATACACGGTTGGCTATGTATGGTGCAAAAGAAGTTCAACGTACATACATACAGAGACCCACAGACACCCAAACTCAGAGACCCGCAGATTATGACGGTTGCCTATGTATGGTGTGTTTCAATATGCACACATAGGCAGAGACACACAGACACCCAGACCCACAGAGACACCCACAGAGACCCACAGATGATTACGGTTTGCTACGTATGGTGCGAAAGAAGTTCAAGATACACACGTACACAGAGATCCACAGACACCCAGACCAATAGAGACACCCACAGAGACTCACAGAGACACCCACAGAGGCCCGCAGAGACTCACAGAGACCCACAGAGACCCGCACAGACACCCAGACCCATAGAGACACCAATAGAGACACCCACAGAGACCCGCAGATCATCACAGTTGGCTACGTACGCCGCGGTTCAACACGCACACACGTACACAGAGACACCTATAGAGACCCACAGAGACCCACAGAGACCCACACAGTCACCCAGACCCACAGAGACACCTATAGAGGCTCACAGAGACCCACAGAGACCCACAGAGACCCACAGAGACCCGCACAGACACCCAGACCCACAGAGACAACTATAGAGACTCACAGAGACTCACAGAGACCCACAGAGACCCACAGAGGCTCACAGAGACCCACAGAGACCCACAGAGACCCGCACAGACACCCAGACCCACAGAGACACCTATAGAGACACCCACAGAGACCCACGGAGACACCCACAGAGACCCGCACAGACACCCAGACCCACAGAGACACCTATAGAGACTCGCAGAGACACCCACAGAGGCCCGCAGAGACTCACAGAGACCCACAGAGCCCCACAGAGACCCACAGAGACCCGCACAGACACCCAGACCCACAGAGACACCTATAGAGGCTCACAGAGACCCACAGAGACCCACAGAGACCCGCACAGACACCTGTAGAGGCTCACAGAGACCCGCTGAGACCCACGGAGACACCCGCGGAGACCCACAGAGACACCCACGGAGACACCCACAGAGACCCGCAGAGACCCGCTGAGACCCGCTGAGACACCAACGGACCACCACGGACGCGGCTCCGTCCTCACGGCAGCGAGAGAGCGCCTCTCTCACCTTCACGCTTCACGACGAGGCCCGGCCAGGCGCCGCCGCCATCACCGCATGGCGGCGGTGGCGGCGACGATGGCGGTGGCGGTGACGATGGCCCCTCCTCGTCCTCGCGCTCCTGCTTGATCAGCAGCCTCCCGCCGGGCATGAGGGCAGCAGCAGAGGCCATCGGTGGGGGCCGCCGCCCCCCCCCCCCAACCCCCCTCAACACCCCCCCCCCGACCCCCCCCCACCTCCTCCTCCTCGTGACCGACCGACTGCCACAGAGGCGAGCGGAGCGGCCGCCCCCCGCCGCCCCGCGCACGGCAACGGGAAAGGTGCCCGGCAAGGCCCGGCAAGGCCCGGTGGTTGGGACGCGCCGATTGTTTCCCCGCGGCTTTGGCGGTGCCGTCGCTTGGTTCTCTTTCGCGGTTGCCGCCGGACGGCGCTGCACCGCGTGGCTGCTGGGGGGGGGAGGAGAGGGGGAGAAGGGGGGGGGGGACAGCAAATGAGACGAGTTGTGGAGTTGCGCTTGTCAGTAGCGGAGAAGAGAAACGTCCGGGGGCGATCGTGAAGATTGTCTGCATCCCACAATCGCGGATGCCCAGAGCCACAGAGACCCACAGACACCCACATCGTCAGGGTCGGGATGGAACCCACGACCTCCTTTGTACCAGGCGAGGTAGTCAACATCTCCTAGCCACCGTGATGATGATGATGAGAGAGAGACGCAGACTCCAAATCTACAGCAGCAGCAGGCGTCATCAGGGTCGGGATGGAACCCACGACCTCCTGTAGACCAGGCGAGGTAGTCAACATCTCATAGCCACCGTGATGATGATGAGAGAGATACAAACTCCAAATCTACAGCAGCAGGCGTAGTCAGGGTTGGGATGGAACCCACGACCTCCTGCGTACCAGGCGAGGTAGTCAACATCTCCTAGCCACCGTGATGATGATGAGAGAGATACAAACTCCAAATCTACAGCAGCAGGCGTAGTCAGGGTCGGGATGGAACCCACGACCTCCTGCGTACCAGGCGAGGTAGTCAACATCTCCTAGCCACCGTGATGATGATGAGAGAGATACAAACTCCAAATCTACAGCAGCAGGCGTAGTCAGGGTCGGGATGGAACCCACGACCTCCTGCGTACCAGGCGAGGTAGTTAACATCTCCTAGCCACTGTGATGATGATGATGATGAGAGAGAGACGCAGACTCCAAATCTACAGCAGCAGCAGGTGTCGTCAGGGTCGGGATGGAACCCACGACCTCCTGCGTACCAGGCGAGGTAGTCACGGCTGCCTGGGTTTGGGGGGCTGTCACGTGGTGGTTAAATGAATGACGTCACTCGCTAGAGACGTCTAAGCCACGCGCTCACGAACAACGTGGACGTAACGGGCCGGCCTATACAACATCAACATCAACAACATCAACACCAACACCACCACTCCACCACCACCACTCCACCACCACCACTCCACCACCACCACTCCACCAACAACAACATCAACACCACCACCACTCCACCAACAACATCAAAAACACAACCACCACCACTCCACCAACAACAACACCACCACTCCACCAACAACAACATCAACAACCAACAACATCAACACCACCAACAACAATATTAACAACACCACCACTCCACCAACAACAACACCATCACCACTCCACCAACATCAACAACACCAACACCACCACTCCACCACCACCACCACTCCACCACTCCAGCAACAACATCAACAACAACACCATCACCACTCCACCACCACCAACAACAACACTACCACCACTCCACCACCACCACCACTCCACCCCCAACACACCACCACCACTCCAGCAACAACACCACCACCAACACCATCACTCCACCACCAACACCACTCCACCAACAACAACAGCACCACCACCACTCCACCACCAACAACACCACCACCAACACCACCACCACTTCAGCAACAACATCAACAACACCACCACCACCACTCCACCAACACCACCACTACCACCACTTCACCACCACCACCACTCCACCACCACCACCACTCCACCACCACTCCACCACCACCACCAACACCACTCCACCAACACCACCAACACCACCACCAACACCACCACTCCACCAACAACATCAACAACAACACCACCACTCCACCAACACCACCAACAACACCACCACCACCACTCCACATACAACACCACCACCACCACCACTCCACCACCACTCACACCACCACCACCACTCACTCCACTAACTCCACCACCACTCACACCACCAACAACATCACCACCACCACCACTACCACTCCACCACCACCACTCCACAACCACCACTAACAACACCACCACCACTCCACCACCACCAACACCACCACCACCACTCCACCACCACCACCACTCCACTACCACCACTCCACCACTACCAACACCACCACCACTCCACCACCACCACTCCACCACCACCAACACCACCACTCCACTACCACCACTCCACCACCACCAACACCACCACTCCACCACCACCACTCCACCACCACCAACACCACCACTCCACTACCACCACTCCACCACCACCAACACCACCACTCCACCACCACCAACACCACCACTCCACCACCACCACCACGACGCATCACGAGTACAGAGTGGTTGTGATTAGTCGCCAGCGCTATCTCACGCGTGGTGGAGTCAGCGTGCTGGCAGCACCTTCACGGCGATGTCGCTGCCACAGGAGCCACGGGGAGTCGCGCGGAGCCACCAGGAGCCACTAGGAGCAACAGAGAGCTACCAGGAGCCACAGGGAGCCACCAGGAGCCACAGGGAGCCACCAGGAGCCACTAGGAGCCACAGAGAGCTACCAGGAGCCACAGGGAGCCACCAGGAGTCGCAGGGAGCCGCGTGGAGCCACCAGGAGCCACAGGGAGCCACCAGGAGCCACAGAGACACAGAGAGCCGCGTGGAGCCACCAGGAGCCGCGTGGAGCCACCAGGAGCCACCAGGAGCCACAGGGAGCCACCAGGAGCCACAGAGACACAGAGAGCCGCGTGGAGCCACCAGGAGTCGCGTGGAGCCACCAGGAGCCGCGTGGAGCCACCAGGAGCCACCAGGAACCGCGTGGAGCCACCAGGAGCCGCAGGGAGCCGCAGAGAGCTACCAGGAGCAGCAGGGAGCCACTAGGAGCCACCAGGAGTCGCGTGGAGCCACAGGGAGCCACAGAGAGCCACCAGGAGCCACGGGGAGCCACCAGGAGCCGGAGGGAGTCTCTACGGGGCTCCCCGTCCAAAGCGAGGCGACCTCGCGGTGACGTCACCTGCCCTACGTCACAGCCGCCATCATCTGGCGCGTCATCGGTGTCGTCACAGCCGCGGCGGGCTGTGAGTGGTTGGTGCGTCTTGTGGGGGGGGGGGTGGGGCCCTGAACGTGAATGGGGGGGGGGGGGCGGCTGTGTGCTGGCCAAGGCGACTCACTTGCAGTGAGAAGAGTCACGCGAGAGGGGGGGGGGGGGGCCCTGAACATGAATGTGGGAGGGCTGTGTGTGGGCCAAGGCGACTCACCTACAACGCGGGGAGCTACGAGAGGGAGGTGGGGGCCCTGAACGTGAATGTGTGTGGGGGGGGGGGCTGTGTGTGGGCCAAGACGACTCACTTGCAGTGAGGGGAGTCACGAGGGGGGGGCCCTGAACGTGAATGTGTGTGGGGGGGGGCTGTGTGCTGGCCAAGGCGACTCACTTGCAGTGTGCGGAGTCACGAGGGGGGGGGCCCTGAACGTGAATGTGGGGGGCGGCTGTGTGCTGGCCAAGGCGACTCACTTGCAGTGAGGAGAGTCACGAGGGGGGGGGGGGGGGTGGCAACGCAGCTGCATCAAAATCGGGGCCCTTTAAATCGTTGATTTGAAGCTTTCGTGACTGCAGGAATCCACTCTCTTTGGTTCTTTCGGTAAAGTCCGCGTAGTTCGACGTTTCGATCGCAGTCCTCATCAGGTGGAACACCCGCAGATGGTGTTGCGATCGAAACGTCGCGATTTGTTTGAACACATTTCTCCTGCTGCGGAGGGGAGGGAGCTGGTGTAGGAACACGTTGTTGGGTTGCTCGGTCAATGGCCTGCAGGGTCAACGGCGGCGTGGTGTATTCCGCAAATATGCCCGACTGTGAGGGCGGGCACAAGCCGGCGTGAGTAGGTTAAACGTTGAGTTTTATAAGGGCACCACGGGGTGACCAGCCCCTCCACACCCCTCCCCACCCAGCCCCACCCCTCCCACCCAGCCCCACCCCTCCCTACCCCTCCCCACCCAGCCCCACCCCCCACCCTCCCCACCCCACCCAGCCCCACCCCTCCCCACCCCACCCAGCCCCACCCCTCCCCACCCCACCCCTCCCCACCCAGCCCCACCCCTCCCCACCCAGCCCCACCCCGCCCCTCCCAGCCCCACCCCTCCCCACCCAGCCCCACCCCTCTCCACCCCTCCCCACCCAGCCCCACCCCTCCCCACCCAGCCCCACCCCTCCCCACCCAGCCCCACCCCTCTCCACCCCTCCCCACCCAGCCCCACCCCTCCCCACCCAGCCCCACCCCTCCCCACCCAGCCCCACCCCTCCCGTTACGCAACCGATGAAAAGATAATGCCGCTCGACTGATTCGGAGTGAGACCTCTGCTGTTAAACTGGAGCTGGTCATGAGCACACTGCCCAGGTATGGGAAACTCTCCACTCTCTCCACAACTGCCCCATCACCCATTGGGAGTTGTGGGGGTGGAGTGTCCGATGGTACAAAATACCCAGGCAGGTGCTTAGTTTTGGTGGGGCTGATGGTAAGGCCCCACCTCTTAGTGGCACACTCCAGTCTCAGCAGCAGCGTCTCCAACTCCTCCTCTGAATGAGCAGCTATTACCAAATCATCGGCATACATAACGTGGTTGACCAATAGGGAGCCATCCCTTGACAATCGGCACCACATCCAAGGCACCCACTCATGTGGCTCGGGGCATCGTTGCTGTTGTTGTTCTGGTGGAGCCAGCAGACCCACATGGCACCGTAATTCTAGTTTTGAAGTTTTCGTGACTGCAAGGATTCTTACGTGGGTAACCTACGTGACTTCACCGAAAGAACTAAGAGTACACATGGCACCGGTGTAGGATCGCGTGGCGTGGCACGGCTCGGCATCTAGTGTGCTGATCTTAAAGGTGCATCGAAAAATG